GGTAGTGAATAGGTCTTTATTTAAATCGTCGCGCAGTCACAGTAGAGCGTGGGATATTTGTTCAGACAAAAAAAGCCTCTCAACATTCAATATAAGATAATAGGAGATGTAAGACCTATACAAAATAAGGAAGTGAATGAATGCTTGAACTATACTGTTTTGACATATGCTTAGTTGCATGAGGTGAACTCTTAACCAACAAACCTAAGCTGTTACACCTTCACCCTCACATTCAGTTGCCTTGATGTTTCACCTACATACGTCGAATTACAGTCATTACGTTTGATTTCATAAACACAACTCTGTTGTTCTTCCGTGTGTATTGGATCTTTGATTCTCACTAGTTTTGATCTTAGAGTACTGTTTGTCTGAAAGAATACTTTTATATCTTGAAGAGTTAGAATCTTTCTGATCTCTTCTGAAATACCTTTACGATATGGGATCACCACTGTGTTAATCCATTCTTTTTTTAATAATGTCATTTTGTTCTTCATTCTTAATTATTCTTTTAATAAAATCCTTCGGATAATTATTCATCATTAGAGTGGATACAAATAAATTCACGTCCATTTTTATATCATTTGGTTGTGACAAGTTTTTTGACTCTGGTGATCAAATTTTTGGCTACTGTCACTTTGGTAGGATGTGGATGCGCAGACTTAAAATCTAGAAACTTCCCTGAATATGTCGGATTTCGGAAAATACTGGTTTTGTAGACTACAATTATTGACGCATCATAAAATGGTTTATTTAATAATAATTTATTCTCAGATGACAATTCGTTACATGAGGTATGCCAGTTTACAGGCAAGATCAAATTGTTACAAAATATACAAATTTCACCGTAGCTAATTACTCAGTTGGGTTGATGTTTTATAAGATATGAATGTAGATGGTTTTAGTAAGACCCGTGTTGTCAACATCACAGTTGGCGCGCTTTGTGAAAGTTACGTTGCGACGTGCAACTGACGGTCGGGAACATATCCATGTGGAGTTAGGGGCTTCTAGAAAACTCAACCTTATATCTCTCTGGAACACCTGAGACTTTAATGACGGCTCAGGAAGAAGTCACCCGGTGCATACCTGTTTTCGGTGGCATATCTCAAGGGAGCTGAAAAGGGTGTAAGAAAAGAAAAGACGAGGGGCAGAGCAGACAATGTTCATGGAGGAATCGTTAATGTATGACTACTCAGTCAATCAGCGTGATAACATCAGACACTTCTGAAGAACATTTTGGGCTGGGTAATGAGTAACATGTTCAACACATGAACACGAAGTTACATAGAGTGACCACATCTGAATGGCTGAACCATGCCATCCCGAATGGTCCTTCCGGCATTCACCATTACCGACCTCCCCTAAGTGTTACATGATGAGTGTTAATCTCCTCGGCAATTATAAGTTCAGCTTCAAGAATCCTGTGATTGGGCACCAATATCACTCCAAGCTTATAAGAACAGTAGATTTGTGAGTGAACAATGGGCTGGCCGTAAGAGATGTTGAAAGAATATCTTGAAGTGAGGAATAGGTGGAGGACGATTCCCTGATATAAAGGTTTAAAAACATACACCATGGAGTACAGTGGTGTGGTTTGGTACCGCTGGTGCTTTGTCAAAACGTATCGTGTTAATCAACTCCCTTTAGTGTGTATAATTCCTACCATGTTTTTTTCGCTTTACACATCGTATAAAACAATATCTCTAGTATTCTTTGTTGACATAGATGGATGAGCGCTATTAAGTCACTTCAAATGGATTCAGCAACTAACAACTGTGATTAAGGAACAGATTTCAAGTTTGCTGTGTATACTTAAGTAATTTTAACTTATCATTGTCAACTGTCGCAATTATTTGTGAATTTTTGACACAGGTTACAAAAGACAGTTGCCATAAATCGATAAGCGTTTGATAATTCAGCCTGCAAAATTTATAGGTCTTCTGCCTATTCCAAGTACGAATAAAGGAGCGGGATCAGACTCAGTCAGCAACCTCATCGTTCAAAGGCAACCATGATAAAACAACACTAGTCAGAAAATAAATTGAAGCCAATTACATTGTGCATTGGGAGTTGAAGCATCTCCACTTGAAGGTACTATTACGCCCAACGGTAAAGGTCTATATTCTTCGGAAATCACGTGACCAGTATCTCTTCTAACAACCAAGGCAATAACAATATGGGCAAATGGAATGTCCTGCTGATTCCCAACTTTTGATTCTCTTCTTTGGGGGGGGGGAGCAAGTGACTACAGACTGCAAAGAAGGACACCTCATCAAGATACCAAGGAAAAGAGATTTGAGCAAATATGAGAACAGCTGATAAAGCTTTAACAGCTCCGTGCTGGGCTTGGTATGGTGTGAAAGCTGACTCACGAATCAGACATCCGTTTGGAGGTTTAGATTTCAACAACACGAGAGTAAGTTTGAGACGTCTAGTATCAAGATACTGGGGGCCTGTAGAGAGATGTAGGAAAGAATGGCAGGCGTGATGCTTTAACCCATACTAGTTCCTTGAAAACCAAAATGAGTTTCTGATTGTGAATGCGCCTGTCTAATATTTCTGTTTATTTTCCTATTTTAATATAGCCTTTATTTATAGCCCAGAATATTGTGGTATAAATAAGACAATTAAATCCCATCGATCTTAATGAAAAGTTTAAATAAAGCCGTCACGAAAGTACTATTTCATAAATCCATAACGCTCATTCAGTGATTTTATTTAGAGCCGTGTTGAGTAAGTTTGATTCGTTATCATGAATTATTCTGATGGACGTCTACATAAGGTGAGGAGGATAACTGACAGATGACCTGGCCCTCCTCTCGCATACACACAAACAAATGCAGATAGAGACAGCCAGTGTAGCGGCAGTTTCTGCATCAGTAGGCCTCAACATACACAAGAAGAAAACCAAGGTCCCCAAATACAATATGGAGAACACCAACCCAATCACACTCGATGACGAAACTCTGGAAGATGTAAAATCCCTTACGTACCTGGGAAGCATCATCAACGAACAAGGAGGATCAGATGCAGACGTAAAGGGGAGGATTGGAAAAGCAAGGGCCGCATTCCTACAATTGAAGAACATATGAAACTCAAAACAACTGACTGCCAACCAACACCAAAGTCAGAATCTTCAATACGAACGTCAAGACAGTCCTACTGTGCGGAGCTGAAACGTGGAGAACTACTACAACCATCATCAAAATGATGCAAGTGTTTATAAATAGTTGTCTAAACAAGAGACTCAATGTCCGATGATCGGATACCATCAGCAACAGCTCCTTGTGGGAGAGAACAAACCAGCTTCCAGCTCAAGAGGAAATTTAGAAAAGACAATGGAAATGGATAGGACATACATTACGCAAATCATCAAACTGCATCATGAGGTAAGCTCTAACATGGAATTGTGAAGGAAAGCGGAAAAGAGGAAGGCCAAAGAACACATCACGTCGGGAAATAGAAGCAGATATGAAAAGGGTGAATAACAAGTGGAAAGAGCTGGAAAGGATTGACCAGGACGGGATTGGATGGTGAGTGCTGGTGGCCGGCCTATGCTCCTCGACGAGGAGTAACAGGCGTAAGTAAGTAATGACTTCAACTAGTACATCACATATTGAGTTTGCACATCACATATCTTGGGAAATATTGTGAACTGTAAGCATTTCTGTTTTGGAGGAATCCTGTGGGCAGTAAACGACGTTCACAAACTTTAGTTTCAGTTTCAGTTTGGGAAGGACACGAGGCTTGATTGCCTGTGTTAGTCCTGACAATGATGCTCTCTCAGTTGATTCAACCTTCTTTTGAGAGTCGACGGATGGAGCCTCAACCACGTGCTGAGGTAATGAATTCCACTCGTTGATGATTCGATGGGAAAGTCGATAGTCAGCTGACAAGTAATTTTTCCTGGGCTTGTGAACATTTTCAGAGTGTCCTCGTAAATTCTCTTTTGGGAGACAAGAAAAATGGGGGCATATCAGGTGCAAATTTATCACTAAGCAATTTGAAAACTGTAATCAAGTCGCTTATAGTTCTTCAATATGAAAACGGGAATAGGTTCAGCTTGGCCAGTCGTCCATTATACGGGAGCTTCGCTATTCCGGAAATCAGATTAGTTGCTTTTCTCTGGACCTTTTCTTGAAGCTCACTGTCTTTTTTCAATCAGGGGCTAGCCGCTTGTATACAGTACTCAAGTTTAAGACGTACGAACACTGTACACAAAGTCAAAAACTTCTTAGCGTCGACATTACTAAAAGCCCTACGTATTGACCATAAGGTTTCAAAACCTTTGGCGGCTATTGCACGGCAGTGTGCTTTAGTCTTTAAGTCTTGGCTAAGGATGACTCCTAAGTCATTGTGTGTCTAGACAACAGTAAGCTCAGTGTTATTCATCACGTATCTATCTGTACCTTGGTGAACAATATGTATTACAACACACTTGGATGTATTAATCTGCAAGTGCCCGACTTGAGACCATTCAGATAACTTCTTCAGGTCATTTTGGAGTTCTAAGCTATGACCCTTACATAGTATCTCTCTCCATATCTTGACATCGTTAGCACATAGCAAGACCGATGATGACAGGAGACGAGGAAGGTCATTTACATACAAGAGGAATAGCACTGGTCCCAAAACTGTACCCTGGGGCACTCCACTAAGCAATTATCAGTACTGAATTGGATGACGCTTTTACTGACCCCCCTAACACATTGTGTTTGGAAAAATAGCAAAAAGTATGAGAGAAGGTATGTAAGGAAAACATTTCTGTTTTAGACTCAGGTGGACGAGCATAAGATCAATAATTTGAATACATAGAAGTGGACGGAATAACTTTCAAATATCAGGTCCATTCACAAGGAGCATTGTAGCTGAATAACTGAACTGACCGCACTTAAGAACATCAAAGATCTAGATCGTCTTCTTACGGCCGATCGCGGCCCCAAAAACTAAACAACCCATCCTTGCTCGTCTCAAAGACATTGGATATTAAGCAAACCTTGAGCAAAGTTTCAAGTAGTGAGTTACACAAAGTTGGTTTGTCGTGATTCTCGCGCTAGTGATAAGTCGCATGATATTACTCAAGGTACCTTTAATATCTATAGATCCATCCTTGTCCTATTTTCCATTGACTGATGCGCATGTAAGTTAACCGAAAGAACTAATTGAATCCAGAAAGATCAGAGTAATCTCTAAATGTCCAGTGCTATTAACTGTGCATACTTTCATAAAAATGTCAAATGACCTGGAAGCATCATAGATACGTTTAAATGATGTAGATAATTTAGCGTATATTTCCTCCTTTCGCTCTTCCAATTAACAATGTGGAACTGCAGTTCATTGAATTCAGTTCCATCTTTCAAGGATGTTTTCATAGGTTCACTTACCGTCACTTGAAGTTTATGATAAAATAAGCTTCCGACAGATGAACATTAAAGTAATCTTCACTAGGCCAGATGTTTTACTTTCACAGTTTACCATGTTTCTGTTGTATTTTGTTTCTCATAATCTTTTGTTCCCATAATCTCCGTCTTTTTACGCTTTACCGAGTACAACCTTATGTTGAAGATTTAAAAAGACTTTCGAATTTGTTTCCAATGTTACCATTTTTCAACAAAATAAATATCTTTCGATTTCAGCATGGACATCAATATAATGACAAGGTCATCTATTCACCCTGAAACTACTTTTATCCCAGGATATTAATACTGCTTTCCTTTGCAAGTGAAATTTAGTTATGGTTCGGTAAAAATGTCGAACGTTTGTAAGCTCTTACATATATAAATGTAGTATTGCTGGCCATAAAACCAGAAACATCTCAATTGAAAATTCTCTCTACTGCAGTTCTTTTTTCCTGAAAGCTGTACATCATCTAACCAAAATAATATCATATTTGGTACAAATCAGTGCTTAAGGCCTTCGTCTCGTCCCAAATCTAACTGGAAATTCCATGCCCGAATATGTAACAGTTAGTGGTGTTTATCATTCCAGATTTGTGTGGACAAATGTACTACGAGTTCAGTCTGGATTAAGTATCCTCATACAGATCTTTAGATATAAGAAAATATCAAGAATTCAGTGCTTCTTTTTGGACACATGGTGTCTTATGTCATTTCACTTTGATATTCTCATCTTTTTCTTGTGTAGTTTTTTAGCTGCGTTTACTGGTGTATGCTCATAAAAAGACAGTTGACTAATACTGGGTATAAGAAATGTCGCGTGGTTACCTGGGAAACCACAAAGACGATGGATGGTCAGGATATGTAAGTTTCTGTTAACAATATGTTATAGTTTACCAGATATTGTGTGCTACAATAAGTAGTAAACTTATAAAAATAATCAAAAGTCCTACTGTTTCATTATTATTTCTGTAATAAATCCTGCATTTGGCGTTTATATACCGTTTTGTTTTACTGTAACTTATCTTAAAATACTAGAGTGAGACATCATCATTATAGCCGTGGAGATATTATGTGTTCTATATTAACTTCCAAACATATTTCAGTGTATTCTCTGAAAATATTTCTTTTCATATAATTTTACTTTTATAAGCCACTGAATAGTAGCTAAATTGCTATCAAGCAATAATGGGAAAAAACAAAGCCTACTCCGTAACTGGCTCGTTATACGGTTAAGCAACTTTAAAGTATACACAGCGTCTACTTTTGTTCTTTACTCCTTATATACTGTCAATAGTTGTACCACCTTTGATGGCTGTAAGATTATACTAGGGATTTACTTATTCGAGCTCTAGTTAATTATCAGACGAAATGTATTTTAGACTAAATTAGTTTGTATCACGATATTTGGACATACAGATTTATGCAGAACAATTTCGTTTTTCTGCCAAGGTTGGAATTACTCAGCAAATAAATATAGAGTCAGACGTGACTCGGACTAACCTCGATTTGTGATTTGTACAGCTATCAAAGGTAGGGAATCGTTCCATGATTGCCTCCGAGGCATTAGTTTGACTAATATAGAGCCTAAACTATTATCATCTGACTTTTAATTAGAACTTGGCAACAATGAGGCTGAAAAAACTAGACCGGGTTTAGATCTAGTCCTGTATGTATAGATGATATAATGTTTGCTCTTATATAGATTTTACAACTCTGAAGAACTAAACTGTCTCCGTACTCCATAATCCCACTGCCTAGCACAAATTTGTGTATTTGAAATAAGGCGACTCTCCAAACTTAAAGGATAACGATGCAACCTGGTTACCCAAACCGAAGTAGATCGGGCGGGGTTCGAGTCTCATGGGGAGCATGGGTTTCCTCAAAATTGCAGCCATCATTTGGTGACGAGTAACAACTAGCACGAAGTCTAGCTCCACAGTATCCTACTGAATGCCTCTATCTGACTACTCAATCCTTTTGCCTGATTGATTATTTCACCTAAAATTTTGTTGTTACCATGGTAGTTTAACGATAGACACATGGCAATTGCAGCAGTCAAAAGTTTTTAAACTTTAGTCATTTTATATTTCCATAGTCTGTATTTTTCCCAAGTGCATGGAGGTATACTCCATATATTTTACACTCTTCTGAGAATTTCCCAATAAACTTGTTTTATGAAAGACTGTTGTGTAAATCTGTGGTTATGTTCAGTAGTCACTGTCATTTGTTTGGTCAGAAATTAAAGACATCATTTTGCTTCGAACTTTCAGTTAGTATTTTGCCGGGTTACAATGTAAGCACACCATCTAACCTTATTCTGGAACTTCTTACTTACGCCTGTTACTCCTCGTCGAGGAGCATAGGCCGGCCACCAGCACTCACCATCCAATCCCGTCCTGGTCAATCCTTTCCAGCTCTTTCCACTTGTTATTCACCCTTTTCATATCTGCTTCTATTTCCCGACGTGATGTGTTCTTTGGCCTTCCTCTTTTCCGCTTTCCTTCACAATTCCATGTTAGAGCTTACCTCATGATGCAGTTTGATGATTTGCGTAATGTATGTCCTATCCATTTCCATTGTCTTTTCTAAATTTCCTCTTGAGCTGGAAGCTGGTTTGTTCTCTCCCACAAGGAGCTGTTGCTGATGGTATCCGATCATCGGACATTGAGTCTCTTGTTTAGACAACTATTTATAAACACTTGCATCATTTTGATGGTGGTTGTAGTAGTTCTCCACGTTTCAGCTCCGCACAGTAGGACTGTCTTGACGTTCGTATTGAAGATTCTGACTTTGGTGTTGGTTGGCAGTCAGTTGTTTTGAGTTTCATATGTTCTTCAATTGTAGGAATGCGGCCCTTGCTTTTCCAATCCTCCCCTTTACGTCTGCATCTGATCCTCCTTGTTCGTTGATGATGCTTCCCAGGTACGTAAGGGATTTTACATCTTCCAGAGTTTCGTCATCGAGTGTGATTGGGTTGGTGTTCTCCATATTGTATTTGGGGACCTTGGTTTTCTTCTTGTGTATGTTGAGGCCTACTGATGCAGAAACTGCTGCTACACTGGCTGTCTCTATCTGCATTTGTTTGTGTGTATGCGAGAGGAGGGCTAGGTCATCTGCGAAGTCCAATTCGTCTAATTGGTTTTGAGGTGTACAAAGTATTCCGTGTTTGTCCTTAGATGTCGAGATCTTCATAATCCAGTCGACTACCTGAAGAAAGAGGAAGGTAGAGAGTAGACAGACTTGTCTGACTCCCGTGCGTACTTGGAATGCATCCGTCAGCCGTCATCTATGCACGATTTTGCACTGTAGTCCGTCGTATGAGTTCTGGATTATGTTGAAAACCTCAGGAACTCCATAGCGTCTAAGAGGTTTCCATAATGTCAAAGGTATCAAAGAAGCATTAACTTCAATTTGTCAAGAGGTTCTGGGTCTCAAGAAGCATTATCATAAGGGATAGATCTCTATAGAAACACTGGACAAGATCAAAAAAAGGAAGAACAAGAAGACAGCAATTGTCAAACGCCTTTTCATAATCAATGAAGTTGGTGTATAGCGTTGAGTATCACTCAACTGATTGTTCGACGATGATCCGTAGTGTCGCAGTTTGGTCTGTGCACGACCGATCCTTACGGAATCCAGCCTGTCGATTTTGAAGTTGGGCGTCTACTGCGTCTTTCGCCCGATTTAGCAACACTCTGTTAAAGACTTTCCCTGGCACTGACAGTAGTGTGATGTCTCTGTAGTTTTTACATTTGCTCAGATCTCTCTTTGGAATCTTGATGAGGTGTCCTTCTTTCCAGTCCATCGGCACTTGTTCCTTCTTCCAAATCTTGAATACAAGACAAAGCATGTTTGTAGTTATTTCGGTGTCTGACTTCAGTGCTTCAGCTGGTATATTGTCGGGTCCTGCTGCTGCTTTCCCGCTCTTGACTTGTCTGATGGACATTCTGATTTCTTCGGTAGTTAGTGGAATGACATCTATAGGAAGGTATGCTTGTGCTGCTTCGATGTTCGGTGGGTTCATTGGAGCCACCCTATTCAAGAGTTCCTCGAAGTACTCTACCCATCTGTTCCTCTGTTGAATTTCATTGATTGGCCTGCCTTCTTTGTCCTTGACTGGTCTCTCTGGTTTACTATATCTCCCCGCTAGTTTCTTCGTTGCATCATATAGTTGTTTCATATTTCCTTCTCTTACAGCTTTTTCCTCTGTCTTTGCTAGTTTTTCCACGTACTTCTGCTTGTCGGCTTTAATGCTCTTTTTCACTTGCTTGTGTGCTTCTGTGTACTCAGCTTGTGCCTTGACTTTCTCTGCTCGTATTCGGCTGTTGTTAATTGCTGCCTTCTTGTTCTTTCTTTCTTTGATCTTGTCCAATGTTTCTATAGAGATCCATCCCTTATGATGATGCTTCTTGAGACCCAGAACCTCTTGACACGTTGAAGTTAATGCTTCTTTGATACCTTCTCAGTTGTCCTCCATAGTAGTTTCTTGTTCCTTCAGTAGATCTTGTAAGGCTTGAGACCCGTTGTTGAGAGTTATCTTGAATTGGTTGAATTTGTTAGTATCTCGAAGGAAGGCTGAAGAAACAGCATTACAAAGGTTCAATATAGCCTATAGACTATAAGTTCTACCAGTGTTTTGATATTCTTTTAAATTTCCGAAAAATACGAAACGAAAGTTAGTCTACTTATTAGTAGTCAGCGAAACAAACTAGTTTTCTAGGCATTTGATTTTGAGGATGGTTTTCCGGTGTAAACCAAAAAAACAACTCAACAGTATATTTCTAAAAAAGATTATCACAGATTCGTGATGGCTATCGTAACCAATGGTTAGAGACTCTTGGTGACATGACTCAGAATCGATCACTTCCCTCTGCCAGGGAAATCCTACTCACTGCCTTCTCGTGGCGGGGGTGTTGTTCACAAAAATGAGAGGACGAAAAGCGAATGTCCGGCGCTTTAACCGGATCCCGAAACAATGGTGCACATGGGCTCCACTATCCTGCGGGAACAAATGGCGTATGAACCAATCGTTATTCACCGGCTTCCATGGGACTGTATCTCCTCACGATGCTCCACTGCCTTGTGGATCAGACCTTTAGGTCGAAGGTTCGGGGAGTGGCCCCCTAAGAAAACCACCTGCTTCGGTTTGGGCACCCGGGCAGTATCACAGCCCTCACACATATCGAATAAGATTTGTGTTGCGCATATGTATTTCGTGCCTCCTTGTACCAATATCTATGTGTTAAAATAATAATAATAACAATGGCGTAGATGTATACACTCACTGTCTTCCCTTAAACTAAGAGATTAAAATCGCTTCATATCTTTCTTTCTACGAACTAATTCTTTCTTCCTGTACTATATCCTTATTGCAATCTTTCTTTTATATATTGTCACAACTGAATTAACTATTTTTATGAATCCGGTGTCCATCTTGTTGTGTTAATGAGGTATGGCAACTTGAACCGATGCATATATGTGCCTGGTCCTACTTTGTAGCTGACTGACTGACTTATCACGAATTTAATCTCGGAACCTCACCTCATATCAAAATTATTAGCATTGAATCTTTGCTTATATTTCTTATTTAGTGCTTAATAACAGTCCATTCATGAGTAGGCAAGAACTTTTTTCGGTTAATTATTATGGAATACCTATCATTGTTTTCGAGTTCCGTAACAGTCTTAAACTTCATGAGTTTTTAGTAAAACATCGGTAAACTTAACTTTCAAATATGATCCCAAAAGACAATTCAACTTGCACATTGCTATTTAGTCACCAAGTGTAAAACAAAATAACCATACAGTCATTTAATCATTTCAGTGTCTAGTCAACTGGATTTTTTAAAATGGACTTCAACGAAATCTCATCATATTGTCTGTTCTTTCTCATGCTTACTTAATTTGGTTATTGTTTTTTGCATGGATTTTGATAATCTTTTTTTATCATTGTTACTATAATCAGGGTGGATATATGCGTGCTAAGATATCGAAATTAGAAAAGCAATTCAATGAACAAAGCGAATCTGGTTTATCATTATTCGGTGGTGTTTCTATTTATGTGAACGGTTATACAGGTTGGATAATCAGTCAGTTTAGTATTATTAGTATTTATAGACCCACCTGCTTTGGTCTTACGAGATTTAATAATACGCCATGGAGGTCGTTACCAAGCATACTACAGTCGATCAGCAGTTACTCATGTGATTGCCAGTCGTTTACCTTATGGAAAACTAAATAAACTCTCAGATGAGAAGTTAGTCACTGCAAATTGGATTACTGAAAGGTAATTTTGTGTTCTGTAAACTAGTCACTTTTTATACTGAATGGTATTTAGACAGATAGTAGATAGTACCGTTCTGATTATTCGTATGTGTTCATTAAAATTATAAAATCCAGCTTCTTAAAAGCATAAATATTCAAAAATTCGGAAGCAAGTTTACACTATCTGTGAACTTATAACTTTTTATCAGTACAGTATTCTATATTTAGGAGTTGGGGATAAATTGTATTTTTTAGAATATATTGATACAACAAACTTTGTTCCGATGAATCTGATACAGTTGACCAACCAAAGATTTTATTTTCTAAGGAGATTATATATATATGAATGCTCGTGGATGTGAATCGGTCTAGCTCTTGTTTGTGTACAATTGTCAGTCTCGAACAAAAGACGTCATAACAAAATCAAAACGAACAATCTGTTTCCTGGCGTTAACTAAATTCTATGTAATCAATTAAATCCATGGAGACTAGTTGCAAGCGTGCAGTTAGGATCACCGATAATAGAAAAAATCCGTTGGTGGAGATCATGATAGAAAGTCGATCAGAAAATACTGAAGATCTTATGTTTTTTTTTTATTTTCAGTACTTTCCACTTCATTTTTATGCTGTTTTTCCTCTCATTTTTTCTATACATGTTGTAACGTGTGAGACTGCAGGTTAGATGGAGCAGCGTTTTAATCGATCGATTCAGTGACACGTAAAACACGCAAGGATGGCCTAGGGTTCTGATTGGCCCTGCTTCGCTGTCTATCCCAGCCAGTTGGGTCCAGAACGCAAGTCACAGCCTCTGAGATATGAATGATTATATTTCAGACATACTCTATTTATATACCAATCAACCAGACCACATCGTACCATAAAATAGAAAACAACATTTGTACAATATTTAACAAGTGAAATAAATATCGACCAATAGGGAGTGTACATTTAAAGTCCAAGGCCACCATTAGACTTAACATGATAATTACTGGTATATTTTTCTGCACATCCTAACAATACATAATGCTATCTGTCTAGTTGTTGAAGGGTAAAGTAATTAGGCAATCTAGCAGTTTCAAGACTACAGTTAATAATTATGCGCTAGTGTGTAAGTTCGAATCGGTGACAGTTTTGTTTCTACATCGACCAGTGATTCTGAAGGAGTTAGAACATTTCTTCAATGAAAAATAGGATATTCATGTTTAGTAAAATAGCATATACAGTCATACGAATAGTAACATTTTTTGGCACCTTCGTGATGTTAATTTGGCTGTAAAAGGTCGGATCTGCAACGCGTCGGTGAGAGCAGTTTTGCTCTATGCTTGTGAAACCTGGTCTCTCCGAGTTGAGGATGTTAGACGACTCTCTGTGTTTGACCATCGTTGTCTCCGAAGAATTGCTGACGTCCAGTGGCAATACCATGTCAGTAATGCAGAGGTTCGGCATCGTGTGTCCGGGCACAAAGATGATAATCCAATTGGTGTCACCATCTTGAAACACCGACTTCGGTGGCTTGGATATGTTCTACGAATGTCGTCCCAGAGAATCCCACGTCGTGCATTATTTGCCGACTCTGGGACTGGTTTGAAGAAGCGGAGAGGTGGTCAGTGCATGAAATGGTGTCGTGGTATGAAAGAAAGCTGCAGAGGTCTGGCTTGTGTTGGTCCTTCACGACTCCGTGGTTGGGGTCCGAGAGATGGTGCAATACAGTGGCTAGAGACGTAACCAAATATGGCTCAGAGTAGAAGCCAGTTGGCGATCCTGCTGTAACCTTCTTTTACTTTCTTCTTAAAAGTGATCGTAACTTCTTTAGCTGAAAGAATTCTTTCTGGTTGGGTCTTTCTGTTTCCCCTATTATTAATATTATTATTCCACTGCCATACACTAATTTGTGGTCGTTATTTGTTCCCTTTTTCTTTTTACACGCACCTTACATTTTTATCTCTTGCCATTTTCATTGTTATTGTGTGGCGCATATGTATCTGGTGCCCCCTTGTACCAATATTTGTGTTCAAATAAATAAATAAACATTTTTTGTTCAGTTGTGCAAGGAAACTAATATCTAGGTATATTATATTGGCTTGGTTCTCATTCCCAGGACAGAGTGGGTTGGAGAATGCTGGTCGGCGGCCTATGCTCCATTAGGAGTAACAGGCGTAAGTAAGTAAGTAGTTGGTTCTCATTGGACTGACGATGTTATACAAACCAGCGGTTTCAATACTCGACTATCAATCACCCGTTCAGTTCTACTCTACCTTCAATATAATAAAATAATAGACCCTCTAAAAAGATAAAGGGTGTATTCTAGTCAGGAAACTTACAGGATTATTCGGAAGGCTATGACAAGATGAAGTATACTAACACTCATGAGTCGAATGATTACTGTAGCAACCATAAAAAAGCCTGTGTAATCCATGTGACCTTCGCTCAGTTACAAGTATGCTACCAAGTAATAGATTCCATTATACTTAAAAAGTCATGGAACACGTCAAACATTTGCTTGTATGAAGCATACCAGTTTTCTTTCGGAACACTTTTAACTGCTGACGTATGAACTACTTGGAATCGACCAAACAAGACTGTGATCTGAAAGTGTTATTTAGGAAGGAAAATCATTCTGAATTTTGTTAACATTTCTAACTCATTTGAATGTAGCTGTTTTTGTTACTTGCTAAATTCGTCATTGTATAATGGTAACCGTGGTGTGTTAGTGTCTGTTCATTTATTATGACTTCCTAAATAGAGTTGTAGAGTACCCTACTATTCATAGTTTATAATCAAAATGTATAGAAATGTTTATGATATTGCTTTCTTCATAAGCACTATATTAATTATTAGCAATGAATGAATTCTGTCTTGATTATATTTTTACTTGAACTTTGTCCTTTAAAAGCTCCTATTCTTATTTTGTCCGTATGATTTTTACCTCCCTTTTTACAAAGTTGTCATTTGAGTTTGTATAACACGGTTGTACTAAGAATTTTTCTAAATGCCAAATGAATCAGCGAAATCAATCAATAAATTCTCCTCGTAGTTCGGTTAACGATACAGGATAGTCCCCAAGATCGAAGGTGTGTCTCATTATCGAGTACATAAACGTATACTTGGTTAATGAATTGCATTAAAACATTGAATAAATATTTTGATTTGAAAAGACAACATATGTCCCACCCAAAATGGTAGTTTTAAACTTTTATACGACAATCATTTTATGTATAAGCTTACTAATATTTGGTATTTTCAGTATTGAAGCTGGTAAACTTTTACCATGGCAAAGTTACCAGCTATATCCAACTCATCGTTCTGGAACTGGGCAGAAAACTCTGAAGATTATACCTGTTATTCCCGCAGATGAGACAAGTATGTTTGCTCTTCAGAATATTGATAAAAAACGGTTATTGGTGGGAAGCTTTGTGTAATTGTTTATATCCTTAATTTTCATAGGAAAGCTTCAGACTAAAAAACGTTTTAGGGCTTGTGCTGATGATTTATTTTACACTGAAGAATCTATGAAACAAAATCTGGTCTTATATAGTTCTCTTATGGAATCCCCATATACCTTTAACCACTCAATGAGAATAATATCTGGAGCTTGATAAGATTGATCATTTATTGGTTCAATTACCTTTGAGCTTGGACTTGAATAAGGGTAAGAAATATAGCACTTGAAACCCTTTGTGTTCGGATGAATTATGGTATCGAGTATAAAAAGTTTGTTGGAGCCTCATAACTGCTCTAATAATAATGTGATCAGTCTGCTTATCGACTTTGACCGAATCAATAGGAGTCAATCATCTATTATTGAAAGTTGGTTAATGCAGTTAAGCATCCGTAAATTACAATCCAGGGCGGCCTGCTTGAGCATCTGGGCTACCTGTTCCTGCCATCTAGATATTTCAACAAGTTATCTATTGTTGTTTGTTTTAATATATCATTATGTTTATTAATCGCATAACCTATTCTGCTGCGTTTCTGAAAAGTGTACAACCTTTCGTTGTCAAAGTTACAGAAAACTCAATAAGAGACAATATGGTTGCTGGCAATGTACAACGAAAAGAATGTACATTATTCAGTTGTTCACTCACTGAAGTGCTAACATCTAACTGGCGATTCCTCAATATTTATCGCCAGGACCGACCAAGAAGAAAGAAACGGAAACTTGTTGAAATACTTTGCGCTGAGAATTCTATATTGTACCAAAATTATAATATTGAATAAAGCTAATAATAATAATAATAATAAAAATTAACTGTCCAAAACTTTAACAGCATTTAGAAGCCGAAGTATTTCAAAAACAGATTAAAAAATATCTTGAACAGTAACCACAAATAGTAGTATATATTTGAAGGTTTTAAGAAGTTAATGAGGTGCTGAATTCGTGTGCAAGCTTTCGAATTAATAGTCTAATTGCTAAAATTATTATTCAGCTAGATTCAAACTCCTTACTATGTGGCCACCAAGATATAATCCAGAAAGAAAATAGCATAACATTATTCTAGGAGTTAGAAAATGATTAATTCTATAAAAAGACCAGTCATATGATGTACATTTAAAAAGCTCTTATTACTCTTCGAACTGATAAAGTGAAAGTACAGAAATCTAGTACTCTGTTAACGAGAAATCATCTGCACGAAAAGTCTCACTACTTAAAATTGTTCATCAGCAATTATCCAGGAAAACATAGGTTTCTACCAGTCTCTTGTGAAGAGTCCACGCATATTAATAGCATATAATAGCATGCATTGATTAAAGACGTTTTAAGCACCTACCTTGTTATCAAATAAAGGCGTTGCCTATAAACGTTTACATATCTTGAAGGATCAAAGTTTAGTCTTGTCCTTAACTCCATCCAATATTTACTCGCTTTGCTCGATGAGATCACTTTGCGTAAGTTTTTCTGGTCTAAGAAAATGGTTCGTTGGACATTAATGAGCTGGAATGGGATTAATATGGATTAGATCATATTAGAATTCCAGATAGATACTTTACAAAAACCTACAGCTTTGTGAACTCTTATGCCTTCATAGATGACCACGATATTATTATTGAGTTTATTAATCACTTCTGGTCGAAAATAAGATGAAATCTACCCAAAAACAAACAGAAAACTATCCTCACAACCTGAACTGTGGACCACAAATTCATTTTAAGCTTCTGGATTCCTTTTTTATTAGGTTAAATGTTTTTCCTGGGCATTCAAATTTTCAATCAACATCAATTCTTTCAGGTTTGTTTGATTAAAAGTCATTTGGGTGATGTTGGAATTTTTTTGATCATTTAGGGCTAAAATCAATGGAAGAGTAGGAAAGGATGATAAAAAAGCGTTTCTTATCCTACTGCTTACGTTTTTCCTTAATAATAAGATATACTTCATATATCTTTATAACCTTTGGTGTTTCCTAGACAAAATATCCACCAATAATCGTATTGTATAGCTAGTTGTTGCATACAAGTTTGTTCATCGTAATTTTATTCTTCACTATGTTTCTCGATATTTCTTTCCACTTACTTAGGTACACTTCAGTTGACTGACTATTACGCCATATATTTATTTACCAATTAAGTACAGCAAAATCAGTGGGTGATTGACCCAAACCTGGCTCTTTTCACTATGAAATAAACCTATAACTTAGTGTGAGAATCTTGACATGGTCTATGAGCTGCACTCATTTCTTTTTGTTTTGTAAATTTTAGATTCTGACAAATTAGAAATAGTTTCACCACCTACTGTTACAAACACAAATAAAGATCCAAATACAAATGTGTAAGTGATACTTTTTTTCCCATATATCACATTTATTGTTCTCTTATATCAAAATAATTACTTGGAAGAAGCACAAATGGTGTACACTTCTTTTTGTAGGTGAATTGTTTGTCAATATTGATTATTACTGTAATCACCATCGGTCACGTTCCCAACAATCAGTTTCCGTGGTACTTGAATCATGTTAGAAAATTTCAATAATGGATTTTAATTCGAACTAGAAACGACCAGGATTGAGGAAATCTAAATTTGCCATAATTGTATGTTATATATTAGTGACCCATTATCTGACTCCACTTAAATCGTATTATAATTGTTACAATCATAATGGAACGATCCGCCAAATAGATCAATGAGTAGAGTTGACACGAGGACAAAGTACCGATAAGATAACTCGATGTGAGCATGCCCATATAGCTTTTGTACTGCCTCCGATAAATGTGTCGGATTAGAGATTGAGTCGTGTGAGTTGCTCGTCGATTAAGTCGGCCGCTTAGTTCGTCTATCAAACGCTTAGAGTTTGAGATGTTCACCGTCTACGTAGATGAGCAGGGTGCGTTTAGTTCGAAGTCAGACTCACCACTCTAGTGTTCCTGGAATACCTGACTCATTAGCTCACTCGCCTTCGCCATTGCGCGTCATTTTGTTTTGCTTCGCTTTCCGATCAACGATTGTACAAAATATACTTATTCAAAAATCCATTCTCGTATTTGATTTATTTAATTCCGTTATTCACTAATGCGAGTTAAGTCGATAATTATATACGAGGATTGGCGACATGTATATTTCGACAACGATAGTCACATGATCAAATTGGAGTCGGATATTCTAGGGTCACTAAAATATTGCCATATTATAAGCAGAAAAATATAGTAATCTAATATTCAAGCATTAGTATAATTGAACTAGGTACGCATTACTTTTTGCATCATAAGTTTATACTTAGTAACAATAGCTTAATTCTTTCTAGTATATATGTGAATCAGCGGCTAAGAAGTAATTTCTAGAAGAAAGTTGTTTCAAATACCTTGTTTATTGACTTCACTAGACAGTTCATGAGTATTGAATTATGGACCGGGGTAAAACTATACTAAACCGACGACTTCAAGATGAACTTTAAAGTAACCAATAAAAATGGCCAATTGGGACGTGTCTTTCGTGTAAATATAGAATAATGATAAAACTACAGTGGTCTAGTAGTTTTAACATCATTAATAAACTTTTGCTAAATATCGATCATAATTATGTATTCAATCTAGACCATAATTCCTACTCCTTTATCTTTTAGAACCTAACTACTAACTCTAAGACCCCTCGACTATAGTTTCTAATCCTACCTCTTAACCCTAATATACCTAACCTTAACACTCCTTCCCCCAACATATTGACCTTAACAGTCTATTTCACAAGGAAGCCATCATCTATTCCTTTAGAAATAAGAAATATGATGAAAATCATGAGCTCCACCAACAAGTTATCCGCAACAGTGTTTTACATTCACACACTAGCTAGCCTACTTTTGATTGATCGTTTAATGTCGTCGGGATGGTATAGTTTTACTTGAACCGATCGTGATCTTACAGGATTTTTTTCATTAGATAATATGTACTAAATAAAGTATGGTTTAAATTTTCAACTTAAACATAAGGTGCATGAAGATGCTTGATGGTATAGTTTTCTGATGGATTAATAACATGTTAGTTAAAAGGAAGAACTGTGTAAAATAGTCGTTGTATATAAGAATTCTACTATGGAAACAACCTTATTTATGTTTAGATATATCTTACAGACAGAATTCAATTACACATACAGTACATGTTCATGGAAAACTAAGGTTAAATAATAAAAGATAATTAGAAATATAAACAAATTATAAAATATAAAGCTATAAGTAGCGTAATATTAGCACCCATAACCTCGAAAATATAACACGAAACTAGGGAAAATTACGAATGCCCTGGTATGGCCGAGAGCGGGGTGGGTTCGCCCTCCCTCTTGAAATACTCTCACACGGCCACGCGTATACAGCCTTTGCCAGAGAAGTCCTACTCACTGCCTCCTCGTGGCGAGGGTGTTGTTCACAAAAATGAGAGGACGAAAAGCGAATGTCCGGCGCTTTAACCGGATCCCGAAACAATGGTGCACATGGGCTCCACTATCCTGCGGGAACAAATGGCGTATGAACCAATCGTTATTCACCGGCTTCCATGGGACTGTATCTCCTCACGATGCTCCACTGCCTTGTGGATCAGACCTTTAGGTCGAAGGTTCGGGGAGTGGCCCCCTAAGAAAACCACCTGCTTCGGTTTGGGCACCCGGGCAAGTATCTCAGCCCGCAAACAAAAACATGATAAACTATCTACTTATGAAAAATATTCCTTTCTCTCCAAATAACAATCAGGTTTCTCTGGGATTGTCTATTGAAGAAGGGTGTGCCTGAGAAGTTTATTAACATCCTAAAAGCCCTATATACAAACACTTCAGGCAGAGTGAGGGCATACAACCACCTCTCTCCATTGTTCCATTCAAGCAGTGGGGTTAGGCAGGGTTGCCCGATCTCACAATTCCTCTCCAACTTTGCCATCGATGACATTCTGGAAACAGCTCTGATGGATGTAAGTAATGGTGGTGTGGATCTGTTGCCCGGAGAAGGACTTCTCGACCTTGAGTATACGGATGATATTGTCTTACTGTGCGATAATGCCCAAGGCATGCAATCCGCACCTAATCAGTTGGCAATCAGTGTCCGTAGGTATGGTATGTGCTTTGTAGCTTCGAAGTGCAAAGTACTTCTACAAGACTGACAGGATTCTAATTCTGTACTCACCCTGGATGATGAGCACATAGAAGTAGTCGAGAAGTTCGTGTATCTAGGTAGCTGTATAAGTGCTGGTGGGGATGTGTGTGATGAGATCAATGCACGTATAGTGAAGGCCAGAACGGCTTATACCAATCTGGGCCATCTTTATCGCCTTCTTGATGTTAGTCTGGCTGTAAAAGGTCGGATCTACAACGCATCGGTGAGAGCAGTTTTGCTCTATGCTTGTGAAACCTGGTCTCTCCGAGTTGAGGATGTTAGACGACTCTCTGTGTTTGACCATCGTTGTCTCCGAAGAATTGCTGACGTCCAGTGGCAATACCATGTCAGTAATGCAGAGGTTCGGCATCGTGTGTCCGGGCACAAAGATGATAATCCAATTAGTGTCACCATCTTGAAACACCGACTTCGGTGGCTTGGATATGTTCTACGAATGTCGTCCCAGAGAATCCCACGTCGTGCATTATTTGCCGACTCTGGGACTGGTTTGAAGAAGCGGAGAGGTGGTCAGTGCATGAAATGGTGTCGTGGTATGAAAGAAAGCTGCAGAGGTCTGGCTTGTGTTGGTCCTTCACGACTCCGTGGTTGGGGTCCGAGAGATGGTGCAATACAGTGGCTAGAGACGTAACCAAATATGGCTCAGAGTAGAAGCCAGTGGCGATCCTGCTGTAACCTTCTTTTACTTTCTTCATAAAAAAGGTTGTTGTGTCTTCCTTAACTGAAAGATTTCTTCTGATTGTACCTTTCTGTTCCCCCATTTTTACCATTATTATTACACCACCTTACATCAATCTCTTCTTTATAATTCCCTCTTTTTTTTCCTTCCCCTTAAATTCCCATTGTTTTGTGTGGCGCATATATATTCCGCGCACTCTTGTACCAATATGTATGTGTTCAAATAAATAAATAAATAAACGAACGAACGAACGAACGAAACGTAGATCATGAAATAGATACTTTTTCTTAACAAACTACTGGACCCTTGTAATTCAGTTGATGATCACTAAATACAGACTTATTTAATCCATTTTGAGAAACACAGTTTCTGAGACGGCAATTGATAATACTTGGCTGCACAATCTGAAGTAGGCGGATGCGTGTTCCAACGTGAAATCTAGAGGTTGGAACTCGAATAACTTAACCACCACCACTCAGACGTGATATATACATATATATACCTTTAATAATAAATCAACTGATATCTTTTCAGGAAGGAAAAGCTTGGTAAATCTTGTCGTAAGTTCCCTCTTTTGGTCACTTTTTTCTGAAACTAGTCGAATGTTTAGTTATCTTATTTTGTAATTTAAAACTTGTTGTAACGTGTGGACTGCAGGTTTTGATAAGCAGCGTTTTATTAATCGATTCGGTGACAGTGACACATAAACACGTACGGACGACCTAAAGTCCTGATCGGCCCTGCTTCGCTGTCTGTCCTAGCCAGTTGAGTCAAGAACACAAGTCACAGCTTCTGAGTTATGAATCATTGTATTTCAGACATACTCTATTTATATACCAATCAACCAGACCATATCGTACCATAAAATAGAAAACCACATTTGTACAATATTTTACAGGTGAAATAAATATCGACCAATAGGGAGTGTACATTTAAAGTCCAAGGCCACCATAGACTTAACACGATAATTATTGGTATATTTTTCCGACTATCATAACAAAACTAAAAGAATTTAAAAGTGTTATAGGTCATCAGTGAAAAAATGGGAACAATAAAGATTCTAAGATGTATCTAAACTCAGTAATCTAATGGCGATATGCTTGCCACATGATCAGAAAGTTCTAGGGTGTTTTATAGTATTTCTTAGACTGTTATTATTCTGTAGTACAAACTAACATCGAATTGATCAATCCAAACAAACTGTCCTCGGAATAACAGATACTGTCTCTGATACATCTCGATTAAGCAATGAGAAGATGAATGTTATCAGAATTATGTGATATATTTGCGCAATATATTTCGAACAATCTGATCACACATATACTTGCTAAGACATTTTTATATGAAAACTAAAAGGTCAACTAGACAGGTTAAAGGTGAGCCGTAACAAAGAAAAATGAAGTACACAAAAGCAATGTGATAACAAATCAGTACTACCAGGGTAGGTTTTTGAACACATAAAGGGGGGGTCAGTTTCCATATTGCCAAAGCTTCAATCAACCGTACTATGCGCCCTTGAAGGCTTTTGTACGACACTACAAATACTGACTTAATATCAACCTTATGACCAGTCTCAACCAAATGTTTCGCAATGGAGGAAGGTGTCTGTCTGTCCTGTGATCTTATTTTACCATTGGAATTCATTTGTTTCTGTAGCCATTTGTGTATGTGTTCCGCCACCCTGTTATTGTTAATTCCGTAAATCTCATTACCAGTATTAGGTAAGTTTGGACATTGACCACATTAATAATATGATCAATAATAAGAAACAAAATAAACAAGGTCATTGATAATTAATTCACTGCAATATACGTTCACTAAACCTTTCTATGTTTTAGTATAAAACAGAATGATTTTCATTTGATAAATACCTTTATAATATTTCTTATCTGCGCACTGTTCATTAGTGCATTATTATGCATATTCCTTGCTGATTATTGCAATTTCTGATTGGAATGTTTCCGTTGTTACTCAACAGTACCCATGACTATTTAAAAAAATAGCTAAACAACAAACAAATCGATCTACATTTGTTTGAGACGATATTAAATAATTTAAGGTGTTTTGTTAGAGTGGTAGGTTAAAAAGATAATTGGCGTTAGTTACCAGAGTTTATTTCTGACAAGTGTTAAGTAATTTACTCTTCTTTAGAAAAACTTAAATATAGACATTGGTCATCAACCTAATTAATTAAAGTTACCGTTAAAGTTTGTTAGATCACTGATAATTGGCGTGCTACTAATGATTGCTTAGCTGATTTAAGAAAGATCACAATTATACACATATTGATCAAATGCAAACCATTGAATCCCGGCTTAGTTTTCGAAAAAAATTGTCTCCATCATGGGCCCTGAAACTCCTTAGTCCAATCTTGAGCGGAGTCAAGGGCATATGGTAGTGAGAAGACAAAATGATAGACATCATCAACATAGAGCTTGGCACAGATATGCATTGCTTAAGTTGCCATACCACATTAGCACAACGAGATCTAAATAACAAAATAGACCCAAATAATGTAGTAGCAATGTTAAAAAGAAAAACCAAACCTTGAGAATATGGTCTGAAAAAGTATAGTGAAAAGGCATATATGAAAAGATACTGGAATTTAAGATTGAAAGAAAGATGAAGGGTCAGTAAATCTTCACCATTGTGAACGGTTCTGGGCGATGTCACCTATAGTCTTCAATTACTGACCGTGCACATCAACCCGGTAGTCAACATCTACCATGATAGCTCAGAACAAGTCAACCACTTCGTGGGCTGATTCCATCAGAAGTCATGTACTAGAATAAAACTGCTTCCTTTTGTTCCACTGTTTTTAAGTTGTCTATGTAGTCAATTCGTAATGTAAACCACTGTTATACGAGTACTTTTTTGATAAGTATCAGACGTCTCTAAAGTAAAAAACACACACTTACATGGTAAATATATTAAAATACCTTGCTATTTTCTGAGATAAATATAAAAGGCTTTCGAATTATGAGTTTGTAAGTTAAAGTGCTTCGATATCCTTCGACTTTCCTTCTTTCAAACGATCATGGTATATAACGATTATATATAGACATCAAAATATATCTCTATAGGATATTGTGATCAATATCGGTTGAATCAAAATTTAGCAATACTGATAAAAACTGCACGTTAAAAGGTATGTCAGTTGAATTAGACTAGACTACATTATGGTGTTAGTTTACATTATTAGGCTATATAGCATACATTTATTCGCCAGTTCATACTTGTAATAAATCTCCTTCTATAATAAAGACCACGTAGATCAGATCTAAAACATGTGACAACGTTATCAAGCTTTTTAGTTGTGACATTTATAATTTTATGGTATCAGTAAATCTACTTTCATATAATAAATTATTTATTCATTAATAGTGAATTTTACTCGACTATAGTTTACTCAAGATCCAATCGAATGATAATTAATACAAAAAATAGACCAATGTGTTCAAAACCTGTATTTGGTGCAAAATAAACTTATATCTGTTCATCTTTTCTTCTAATTCACGTTGATTTGTCTTTGCTCGCTTTATACAGTTGTTGCTATTCTATAAATCTGAATTCCATATTTTAACTGTCATTTCATTGCATCTCGATATGACCCAACTTCAGAATATTTTGGCACAAGTTGAAATTTGTACCACAATAAGTTCTGTTATAGTCATTTTGAATTTCATTGTTTAATAATCCATCATCTACCCATCACTTACTGTTTTGTTCGGATTGATCTTACTCAATTGAAGAGATACGAAAATTTGAGACATTTAAGTTAATTGGTTATCTAATTATCCTAAGAATGATGATATATATATATTTGCCAGGGTGAAAGTGATATGTTAGGGAAAATAAATAGATTTCCTTGGAACCGTGACATCAGTGCATCATATTATTTCTATCATAGGATAAAACCAAAAGCTCACTTAAAGCCGGAATAAACTAGTTGGGATAAAACATTGACAATCGTGGTCTACAGTCGATAAGACATATAGTTAACTCATGTTTTCAGTTGTCTGTTGCGTGGGAAAAGCAAACAAGTTTAATATTCATCCTAGCTAAGACTTCGTTCACTATCTTGTACGTTTAGCACATGTCTCGTCTTTACATGTAACTAGTTAGTATTTGAATTTTTTTCGTATCTTCAGCAATATTCCAGTACTTCACTTCATGTCTATACAGATAATAATTATCCTTCTTAATTAAAATCCTATTTGCAACTAGAATTACAGAAATGTCCTCCTGCAGTACACATCAATTGTCATCTTCAAGCGACAAACAAGCTCGAGTTCATCAAATGCGTGTCGATGAGTGTTTATCGTTAAATCATGTGTTAAAAACATATTCTTATGATAGTTTAAATAGAAATGTCCAAAAGAATAGTCCTCTAAAACCTGCAATTACATTGAAACAACTTCTGAACAATAAACTTGACGGTGATACTCTTCAAACAACCAATCTGATTAAAGATGAAGTAAGTAAACAGAATTAAAAATGTATTTCATGTATGTCTTTATAATTGTAGCATTTTACGTTCAATGATTTGTAAATCTAGCAGTGTAAAGTTGACGATCTGTTCATCTTCGTGAAATTAGTGTCTAGTACTATGTCAAGCCTACATGAGTTTTTCTAGCTTGAATCACATTTCGACCATCTCAATTATTCACCTATAACCTTGACTGTTTTTATATGAGCATAAGTGTCCATCTCCTACCCTACCCAACACGTCGTTAGATTATTTTTGTCTCGTTATAAATATCAGTCACACTTGCTTTCTCCGATTTGTTTCTCCACTTCGTTACTCTGATTGTCTGTCAGGATCAATGGATGAAGTACATATATCCAAAATTCATTCTCGTATTTGACTTTTTTATTCCGTTATTCTCTAACTCAAATTCAGTCGATAATTAAGTACGAGAGGACAAGTATATTTCGTTAACATCATCATATGATCAAACCGGAGTCAGATCAACGGGCCACCAAACATTCTCTGTAATATTTATATACACCTCGCATCCTCAATATACGTTTACTAGCTTCAACGAACTTTCTTGTTTTGGTTTCAATCTTTTTACAATGGTTTCTTTGCTTTTGGTTCAACTAACCAATAGTCATATATGGAAAATGATCCAAGCGCCTGGGAATTAATTCTGTAGCAAAACTTTCAAACTCAGTTTACTGTTTTGCAGTTTGAACATCAAATTACTAGTGCACGCTTTGTTCCTCGCATTTTAGTTTTACAGAAGCTACTGAGCTGGGTTTCCTTAGAAAATTAATTCTTATCATGGATCGTCTTTTAGTATTTTACCGACGTGTACATCTCTGCGTACTCACCATAAAACTATTACCTTATTTCTGACTAATTTACATTAAAATAGACCATATAACAACCTTTCTTTCATTTCATATCAACTAATTGCAGTTACGCTAATAACGTTTTGATACTTCATTATAACAAAATAATTTTCAAACAAATGTATGTAAAATTCATTTCATAGCAATTATATAGTATGATAAAAACTTGCAGTTAGTTCCTGAAATCATTTTTAATCAGAAATCCTATATGGCTCAATATCTTGTCTAACTGATTTAGCTCGGTTTATTTATTTATTTAAACACAAACCGATACAAGAAGGCACCAAATATATATGCGTCACACAAATCATTCAATTTGTGTATGGGCTGGAATACTGCCCGGGCGCCCAAACCGAAACAGGTAGTTTACTTAAGGAGTCACACCCCGAGCCTTCGAGATAAAGGTCTGGTCCACAAGGCAGTGGAGCAACGTCAAGAAATGCAGTCCCATGGTGACCAGTGACCAACGATTGTTTCATACGCCATTTGTTCCTCAGAATCCTGGGGCCCATGTGCACAGTTGGTTTGGAGTCAGGGTTTTCCAACTTCCCTAGGTGGATACTCCGTATCCACCAACCCGGTTAAGGTGCCAAACATTCGTTTTTCGTCCTCTCAATTTCGTAAACAACACCCCCGCCACGAGAAGGCAGTGAGTAGAACTTCTCTGACAGTGGTTGTATATGCGTAGCCATGTGAAAGCACTTCGAGAGGGAGAGCTGAATTTCTCCACTCTCGGCCGTACCAGGGCATTTGGGGGCCACTCAACTTTAAATTTATGCTTATCAAAGATTGTGAATCCTTTAAAACAACTTACTTACTTGCGCCTCTTACCCCTCGTAGAGGAGCATAGACCGTCCGCCAGAATTCTCCATCGAACTCTGTCCTGGGCAATCCTTTTCAGTTGTTTGCAGATGCTTTTGATTCCTGCTTCCAATGCTCGACGCATTGTGTTCCTTGATCTTACTCTTTTCTGTTTCCCTTCAGGATTCCAAGTTAATGCTTTCCTCGTGATGTAGTTCTATGATTTCCGCAATGTTATGTCCTATCCATTTTCACTTAAAACAGCTACATTTATATTAATTTGTGATTGGAAATCATATCTATTGAATGTAGCTCATTTTAGGAAACCACCAATTTTCAATCGTGAATACCTTCGAAATAATTATCGTTTTTATTCAGTCCAGTAATTAAAATGATTAGTACTGAATTCTAAACATAGAAAGAAAGTCAATTGATAAGCTTATATCACCTTGCAACTGAGTTAGTAAAGTTGTATTACATATACTGCAGCACTGCCTAATAGAATTTCACTAAAAGTAATTTCCAAACGGCTGAGATAACTTACATGAACATGACGAATTACTAACTGGCTAGATTGGAAAACAGGCAGTGATTCATATACTGTACGAAATATGGATAAAAAGTAAACAGAATTACCAATACTTTGATTTTTATTGATTCTGTGCATCATATAAGATTGTCTGTTTGTTCCCTTTTTTTGACTACCCATATCGTTTTGTCATTTATTTCAAAATATTTGTTTTTTTCTTTCGTTTTTATCATTCGGTGATGTTCCTTTTTGAACGGAACTTTTATATAGCAACTCAGCTTAGACTTCAGTAGACTTTGGTTACATATTTATCACGTTGTATGATTAATACTGAATATTCTTCATTGTATTAAACTAAAAACTAACATCGTACCGTAAATTATTAGTATAAATAGTCATCTGGAAGCCGTTATCCTAAAATATAACAGCTTCCAGATGTTTTCTTCAGTTTTGAAAATGATACATGTACCAAATATTAACTTAGTAATGAGATGGATACACACATGTATTTCGACTCTCCTGTTCCTAAATTTGTGTAAACTTTTCTCGACATAACTAGTTGCGCTGTTTCATTTTTAGGTACCTTCATCTGTTGCTTCCCATACATCGATACAACAAACCTCATTGAAAGCATCACTAGATCAAAAATTAGCTACATTTTATTCCCGTTCACGCTTACATCATCTTTCTTCTTGGGCTAAAGATCTACATAGCTTAGTCGAAGAAATGCGTAAGAATCCTGAACATAACTGTGATTTAGGCATGAAATGGTATAATCAAATTTCAAGCGATTTATCTCCATCCAGAAATAACAAAAAAACGATTGAGTTACGTGCACGATATGTTCATTGTAATCATTCTAATTCTTATCCACTATCAAAACCACAAAAGCCTCAAATTATATTTCATATTGATATGGATTGTTTCTTTGTATCTGTCAGTATTCGAAATAGACCAGAACTTAAAGGTAATTATTCCATCAAAATTTTCCGTATTCTGTATATTTTTAAAATTTAAGTGAACTAGTCACTTAGTGTATATATATTTATCCAAAACTATTTAAATTAAAATTAAGAATGTCAATTACTATATGATAATTTTGTTTACGTATCAGTATGCATACAAAGTCATTTTATATGAGATTTTCTATTTTAAACATTGTCAAGCTTTAATAATTATGTACATTATTTCAGTACACGTAGTTGTAAATGTTCTCCAAATAATTCTCTTTCATTAGTTTTCCACATAACAGTGAGCTCATTAATTGACTGCTCTAAATCATGTTATGATTTACAGACGTATGTTTAAAGAAAACTGTAGTGTTTGTCTAATAAACAAAATGATCATAGCATACATTTTTGATGGCGTAGATGGATTGAACTCATAGTACTTTATATTTATTGATTCACAAACTCATCTCTTGTTCTGTGAGTAAGGTCTATCAAGAACATTTACAATTTCTCAAACTACAGGTTTACAGGGTTGGTAATACATTTTCGTTTACTACTCCTAGATCTTCAAGTAATGAATGTGGTATTAGATAATGAAAATTTATTCATTGAATAAATACTTAAGATTTATAAACATTACTGAATATTTCTATTCTTATTTATAGTAGTCGATTTTAATAGTGATCTGAACTGGAACTAAATATACATTATTAGTTCCAAAATCGAAAATCGTTCCTCACATAGATTTCATAATTTTTAACAGCTGAAGTTGTAGAATATCACAAAACATATCTAACTGCTCAATGAGACCATTTTTATTCAAATGAACTAGAGAATGAAAAAGATTTGTAGCTCAATTTCATATTTATAAGTGTTGAGATATCTTGGTTTGACTGTTTTGATTGAGAAGTATTCATTGTCATTTCGAACTACATCATAAAGAAGTGAGCCTTTCAGATACTGATTGCAGGTCAATCTAAATATCATGCTTTTGGAAATTTATTGATATTCTTAAAGTTTCCTTTATATAGAATATTTAAATGTTTCAGTAAATAATAAATATTAGCACAAATCTAAGTTGTTAATTCATGCGAATGTGATCAATAAATCACGCGGTCAGAGGTCAACTTAATAAAACAGTAAACTTGATTCTAAATGCAAATCCTGCGAAAACCACTTATCATAAACAAAACCCCTAGAACACACTTATTCGGTATTTGTGAAGTAGTTTTAAAAATCTCACTTTTATTCTATAATGTCCATAATGACAATAAGAGCTTTATAAAAATTAACACCATAAAAAGATACGAATCCCTTTTCCGTATGCGGTTCAAGTAAAACAAATTGTTTCAGTATTGTGTTCCTCTACAGTGTTAAAAACGAAACCGTGTTAAGTTGATCCAGTATACAAGAAGTTAAATGGAATACATATTTCATTAACATAAATGCTGTCTTTTGATTATGGAGTCAGCAACGGGCACTAAAATCCACCTTCATTTTTTTATCCCTAGTAAAAACTTACAGTCTTCCTGATTACATCTAGTTTATGGTGGGGATACTCTTGTTAACATCTCATGCATCATTACTGTATCCAGCGAAATCCACTGGGAACTAAATGGCCTACGTATGACAGAACTATCTTAGTAACAACTCAAAGATTTGAGTAGCATTGCAGATCCTTAAGTTTACATATTAATATGATAATCCGAGGTATTCAGTTAATTTGAACTAAACAAATAGAAAATTTATTTTAAAAACATGAGCATAATGATTTGGAAAGATTTATCGATCACTAACGAAACTCTGACACGATTGTACAAATTTCACCAATCTACAATGATCATAGTTTATATATATATATATATATATATATATATAAAAGGATCTCACCATATTTTGTTTGTACTAGTATATGATGTAGTTGAATCGATCTGACTTCCGAATTCATATATTTTACTGAAACTTGAAAAATGTGAAAAATTATATTCATTGTGACTTTCCAACCATCTTATATATTTTTCTTTCATCAGACAAGCCAGTTGCTATTACACATGCGAAAAGCTCACGTGGTTCATTTAACGACATTAGAAGTAGTAATAAGTAAGTTGTATTCTGAATCCTTTGAGTTAATTTCGTCATGTAATTTATTCTCTTCACTTAATTTCCACTTACTGATAGGAAGTCAGTCAGCTACAACGTAGTACCACATATATACATCAGTCCAAGTTGCCATACCTCATTAGCACAGCAAGATGAACACTGAATTCATAGAAGTAGTTACTTTAATGGTAGTAATATATAAAAAAGGTTGTATATAAGGATATAATACAGGAAGAATTAGTGGGCAAAAAGATATAAAGCAATTTCAATCTCACGGTTTAAGGGAAAACATAGTGTATACACCTACGCCATTGTGATCGATTCTGAGCCACATCACCCAGTCTCCAGCCAATCGTTACGATAGTCACGCAAACCTCAATACAGATAGGAAACTACAATTCAGTAGCCCAAGGTGTGTGATACAATTCCGGTACTTCTGTCGAGACTAATGGTCCTCAGGTGAGGTCACTACCTAAGTCTCAAATGAAACCCCGTCACAAGCGGTTAAGGCGATAAAAACTAAGTCCTCACTTTATTCGGTACACATATACACACTCTCTTACTCTTATCCATGTGTTATTCGCATCGGTTTTGAAACTTACTTTCATTGTGTAAAGTGACTCTGATGTAATGAGGAATACATTTTTCATAAAGGCTCCGCAGAGTTTGGTTACATGAAAACATTAAAAAGGACAAGAAACTAGACACATCGCCTGTCCATTTCATGTCTCTCCGCTTCCGCTGGTTCTTCAACTATTTTTAGCTTATTATACAACCTATGCTATAAAATTTTAAAACCTAGTGTTCATATATAGTCGCATTGATGATAAATATTCATAGCACAGTATTATTGTCAAAAATATATCGTAACCAAATCTATGCTTTGTTTAACTACCATTATAGACACACGGAATCGATGTCTGAAGTTGCTTCCTGTTCATATACTGCTCGTCAGGTAAGTGTAATTAAAGTTTAAATACCTACTTGTATCATTTAGAATTTTCTAAATTAGCACTTTCAGTGTAAGTTAGACATTGTTTAGTTAAAAATAAACTTAAGATTTTACGAAACACAAGGCCAACTTACACATAAATCTAAAACTATTAGTTAATTTTCCACATTGCAAAAAATACATGAGTTAAATGTTCATATAATCCAATAGAAGTGAACAGCTGTAAAAACTCTCATTTGCCTTCCTTGAGAGTACCGAGTGATAGGCACCTACTTTTAATTCCGATAGAATAACACATGACAGATACAATCTATCCTCTTTAATCTGAATAGGCTCCTAGCTTTCAATTATTACCCATTAATCAACAAATACTTTTTTGATATGCTAGTCACTATACATGTAGCCAATTCTAGAAAGGATACATCCCATAACCTTGTGATTTAAATAAAACCTCAATGTATTAATTGGATGCTGAGAACATATTAAGTTGGATCTCTTCATTTATCTATATAACTAATAGTATTTACATTATCGTAGATAGAATCACTTATGATCATTATTCTTAAACTAGAAATGTTAATAAACACTTCATGAGGATAGAGGAAAAGTTTATGGATTATCGTTCCGGAGAAAGACCAAGGTGAACTAAGTTTGAAGCAGTTACATGGTTTTCTTATTAGGATAATTTCTTAGCGTTCTTGATACATAGATTTTCATACGTTTCAGGCTGGAGTGAAAAACGGAATGCTTCTAGGAAGAGCCAAACAACTATGCCCAGACTTAATTGTTTTACCTTATGAGTTCGAGGCTTACAAATCAATATCAGAGCTGCTATATAATACCATTTCTCGGTAAGTCAGTTGCTTTTGTACTTATTAACGGAAATAGGCTTGTAACACTAACCTACATTTTCGTCCTAAGTATGGCTTTCGGCAATCCTCCATACCATACAAGTAACAAGTCCTCAGTTGTAGATAGACAATCAGTGAGAAACCAAACGGTGCAGTTGATTATTAGAGTTTAACCATACCTGCCAGTATTATTGGACGATTTCCACGCCATATCACTGATCGACTGAAGTTTCCTATATGGACCATAAGATTCCGCCTACAAAGTTATATACTAAGATGGAACACCTTTCCCTTGGTTTATTATCTAACAAAAGCCATTTCAGAACCATAGCTAGTTTTTCATCTGCTTTTCTTTTTAGTGGAATATATCTGAAGGCTCTTACATGTTTCGACAGTTTTCTTTCGTTTCTTTACAAAATGAAAGATGTCTGGATTTTGATTTCACTGTTATTATGAAACTTCCGTCTAAAATTTATATTGGTCTATTCTATTCCGTAATTTATAGCTTCACTCGAGACATCCAAGCGGTAAGCTGCGATGAACTGTATGCTGATTGTACAGAACTACTAACTTATTCGAATGAAAACGAGATCAAACCGAAACTCCATGATGGTCATTGGGAAGTTACCTATCAAATCATTAATCCGTTAATTTTGGGTAGTTATATACGAGAATTAGTAAAAGACATCACTGGTGGATGCACAGCTTCTATTGGATTTGGTACAAGTAAATTATTGGCACGTTTAGCCACAAAGAAGGCTAAACCCAACGGCCAATATTGGCTTCTTGGCCGCTCTGGAAGCGCATGTCCGAAACTTGATAGGCCAGCAAAAAGGTGGAGCTGGAGGTGGTATTCTTCAGAAGGGAATGTAGAACAGCTAAATGTCCACTCGGAATGTGAATTAACTGGCGATGATTACCAGTGGCTGTGTGACCTACCCCTCACTGAAATCCCAAGTAAGATTTTTTGATCTTATATAGTTAGTATACCGGATTAACGCATTACAGTTATACTTATACCGCAAAATATATTCTTCGTTTCTAGGTATCGGCAGATCACTAGCAGGTAAAATATTTCAAGCATTTGATGCAAAAACGTGTGGCCAACTGATGTCCGAAGTCTCTCACAATCAAATCACAAACTTACTTGGAAAGAAGACTGGTAGTCGTGTTTACATGGCATGTCGCGGAAAGGTTGGTCTAAGATTTTCGCTTGCATTTTAAATGAAACGGACAAAATAGTCCATTAAGTGAATACTACCAATCAAAATGTGAAACACGAAGGTTCACATACACTATTTTAAAATGTCACTGACTAGTGCAAAGAATATCTGCAGTTTGGATGAAAAGCATTACGAACTTCACCACAATTGTATTAAGATCTTTTAAGGTACTAATCGAGCTGAAAAGTGATGACGATATATCTCTGTGTGGGTAGAGTTTAAATACACAATGACTTTTCTTGGCTATTTTTGTATGGAGATAGGTGAAGGATAGGACCAAACAATATTCTTGTTTCAACGCTGCTAAAATCGTGATATAAAACTTGAGTAATTAATGATCAACTATTTAGGTGATATTTTTCTATGAAACAACGTAAACATTAAAAAGCCGATCTCCTGCTATCAAATCATGATCAGAATCCTCCAGTAACTCTGTTTATTAGTTACAACACACAACATAGGTTGAGCCATAGTCGTGAAATTTCCGTGTCCCCAGACAACTATAGCAAGCCCCACGCATTCGTCACTAAGTTCTTTGTGTAGCTTCACGCGACAGTAACCTGTCTTGGTTTTTGATTGGTCCTCTGAGACTTTTGAGGACGATGAAATTTACAGTAACGTTTTCTTCAAGAGCACTGTCAATATAACAGCGGCATAAACCAGCCTATTATTCAACTACTGAGACATTGAAGCAAACATAACGCTAGTCGAGTCATCAAAATAAAATCCTATATGTTGAACTGATTAGCGATTGAAATTTATTAGCGGTAGCCCCCATTTTACATTGATGTCACTTATCAGACCTAATTTTTTGTCTTGTAAACATTTCTTACTATTTTAGGATTTGGATAGTTTGCATTTCGAGAAGGACTATAAATCTATATCAGCATCAATGAACTACGGAATTCGATTAAGCTCAGTAAGTTTCCCGAATTTGAATTTCGATTGGTGTACGAATTTTATTTGTGAAGATAATAAAATCAAAAGACCAAGTTCATCAAAACCACATCATTTATTAGATCAATGCATTTCAAAAGTCTGAATGGACACTAACTTGTTAAGACACTTATATGTGAGAAGTAAAGGTCAAATAGATAACCAAGATATAAATTTCAAAAAAGGCATTAATCAGTCGATGAAGGAAGTACATAATTTCTCAAATTAACAGGAGAATGTTGATGAGAATCAGATATACTTGTTGAAGACAGTAGATGGATGATAACTGTAGTGATCGCTCATGAAGTTTTGTAGGATAACGGGACACTAATAACGTTCATCGAAATACAAAATTTATCGAATAGATACCTTACACAGTTAAGTTGGAGCTGTCATCAAGAAAATCAAACTGTTGTGTAGTTTAGAAAAACCCTATTGTTCTACAACTTACCAACGAGATGACGTCACCATAAATCTGAAACTTTAGCTATAGCAGATAAGTCATTCACCATAATTAGCTCTAGGATTAGAGACGGACAAATTCCTTCTGCGTACTGGATGGAATTAAGGTTACGAATTCACATGTGCGTACCAAAAGAGATTAAAAATTTCGTGTTTTTACTTTTTAGATCCGAATAACTTTTGTTATAGTTTTCATGATGGATTAACTTCAGATGAAGGGACTGACCAAATAAGCAATAATCATGCACTTAAAAGTGACTAACTTCAGCTTCACGCAAAAGTTGTCACTGATGGGATTTAACCATACCAAGAGCAAGATATGTATCACTGTCGCGCTATATCATAAACTGACTGGACTACTAAATTCCTAAATAATGGTTTAATAATAACGTACTCGCTGCGAGATCTGTGTTTTGGACTTGATCCTTTGTGCAGCTATTTGTTGGCTATTTAACCCCTTTGTCTTAATAAATCCTTGTAAACGAAAATGTTTTGTGTTGCAAGCGGTTAAAAAAATCTGTCAACTAATTAGCTTTTCTTGTTTTATTAAAAACCAATATTGTTGGCGGCCGACCCTCAGTCAACCATCTAACAACATAAAACTAGGCACACATATGCGTCCAAGTTGCCATACTTCATTAACATAACAAGATGAACTTTGAATTTATGGAAGTAGTTGATTCAATTATGGTAATATACAAAAGAAACATAGCATATAAGGATATAGTACAGGAAGAAAGAATTAATTCGTAGAAAGATATAAAGCAATTTTAATCTCACGGTTTAAGGGAAGACGCCATTGTGGTCGATTCTCAGACATATCACACAGTCGTTACCCCAACCAAGTAGTCTGCATATACCAACATGGATCAGATTAGAAGTTAATGACTTCAAGCATTAATGCCATGTTTTATTTTCGCTGCCCCTAACGTTCTTCCAACTACCCACCAGAATATTAGTCAGTAGTGTGCGTCGTGACAATCGGTGTTCAGGCATACGTAACACGTGGCCCAACTATCTCAGTTGACGAAGTTCTAAAACCTCACCAACTGATTCACCATCATTCCCTAATACCCTGCGTCAAACCTCACTATTACTCACGCGGTGATCTCAGTGCATGCGAGCAATATTTCTAAGGCATTTGTGATAAAATATAAGTGACTTACAAGTGTCTTCTACTGTTAATGCCCACGCTTCGCAGCGTATTCGTCCTTTAATTGATAGACGGGTATCTCACCTTCGCCATAGGTAACATAAGTTGGCATGAGTCTAACAGATTTCGTCACACACCAATCCATCGGAACGGATTAGACTTCCAATATAAGTGAAGTTGTCGATGCGTTCGACTAATTCACTCCCCATAATTAGTCCAGGTGTTCACGAAGACCAGTCCTGAAGTAACAATCTGCATTTAGAGAGGGAGAAACGCGTTCCAAGGAACCTGGCATTGTTTCTCAGTGCTACCAAAGGGACTGAATTTTATCAGTTTCCTCGTCAAACAGGACTATGTTATCTGCGGTCCAAGTGAGAACAATTCTGCAGAGACGACAACAACTAGACACAACTGTTAAAAAAATCATGGCTTAAACCAAATGCATCACAGACTAAAAAACTTTTGAGACTCTAGTTCAACGGATATTTTAGATTGGCTGGCATCATGAAATATTACCCGCATTGGCATCTAGCATTCTGTACCAGTATAAAATAATGGAATTTTTCTGTCACCAGCCCACAATCAATTACCCAGATGAGCACAGTTCTTTACTATTTCCATTGATTTTTCGAGGAGAAATATGGACATGATATTCTCATGATCTACAAACAAGACAAAAGACTTTTAATACAAAACGCAAGACGCCATTCAGAAACCATAGAAACAATATTTCACATGAAAATGTGGCTATAAATTAATGCAGTTGTGTAATCACTGCATCTAGATTTCTGCTTGATGGTATTTTCTGAAATCTGTAACTAGACGAAAAAAGATTTGTGTAGCAAACGTAGAAAAATCTTGTGGTGCAACCACATAGTATGCTGTAAAGAGGTTCAACTTTTATCGTTGCTATTGACTAACTCTACATAGAATTAATGTAACACCATTCCATGCAACATATGCTAAAAAGATGATGTGTGGTTCAGTAAGGAGACTAATGAAAGAAACTATATTTTACATTAGCGAAGGAAACGTCTCAGTATTTCCAGCCGAACAGCTAAAACAACTATTTAGTTAATTCAGGTTTTAGTGAACTCGGATATATTTAGAGTCGAAACGTACGTAACTCAACTGCGTATTTCGGACAGCAATCATATAAAATACGGTTTGGTTTTTCAATGAGATTTGTTGATAGTGGTTGGTACACACCTATGTGAATAACAGAACCAGGAAATAAAATATACATATCGAATTCCAACTTATTGTGGATTATAATGAATCATCCCTATTTCTGGAATTTACTCAGAAAATGTGTCAGTGTACATAATTAACGATCCAAATTTTACTGAAGATGGAAATATTTATTTGATATGGAAAAGATTTACTGTTTATAATTAAACTTTTAGCAATCTGAATTAGAAGCCTTAGTACATTCACTATGTGAAGAATTGAGCTCTAGAATGCGAAATATTAAAATGAGTTCAATGAATGCCGGCTGTGTAGGAAAATCCCTAACCGTCAGATTATACCTACGACTTCCTAACGCACCCGCACAGACTTCAAAATATATGGGTAAGTGGTATGGAGTGTATCTTTATAATGCAATTAGTTTCCTATGTACTTACACTTTTTCCAATTAAGCTTACTTATACACGGACGTTACATGACACTAAATTATTTAAAAAGAAAAATACTTCGTTTATAACTTCGCGGCATTCCTTAACTCATCCGTATTCATGATACCGATTAACTACAGAAATGCTGACAGTGTAACTTTCAAAAGTTGTGCGCCCAAAATATATAAACGCTTGGCAACTGAAAATTCCATAACCTGAACCAGTACAGAATAACTAGTTGTATTTCAGCTTATTCTTGATTCCGTTTGTTAAAATGACAATATCACCAAACATCAATAAAAACTACCACAATAAGTAAAATATTTACTCACATTATTACAATACCATTACAAGACAGTAGTAGGTATATAAAAATTTACTACAAAATATCAACTAGTGCACTGGAATACACTAGGTATCTAAAAATCTATCGGGTAAAAGTTTACTAAATAAATCGGTATAACATTAACGTCTGCACCTGCTGTCCATTTCAAAATCTTTAGCTTGAAAAACATGGGCAAACGGGTTATTTAGATAAAGACAGTACTATACTCGTTCGTGCATTCGATTAATTAAGCATCCTTCGCACTAAGCTAGATAAGCGTTGAAAAGTATAAGTGCCGATACTTTGTAATTGTATTTAAAGCGAGTTAATCTTATGAAGAACGTTGTACTACTTTTGGATTTCTCTAAATAAAATTTTTCGAAACATCTATTACATGTAGCAATATATGTCATTTGACTCAGAACTGACAGTATTTATAGTAATAAATGAACCTCATGGTAAGTTAGTTGTTTAACAATGCGAAAGCTGATTAAGGATTGTAAACTATGTATATGGGTCAGTTTAGAAGTCCTTACTATCAGGATAAACACTTGAACATAAAAAGGTTCTATTTTTTATTATTTCTCAACGATACTGGGAATAATTCGATCGGAAAAGACGCGCTGTGAGATATGAGTGACAGTTTTTAGTAAATAATGTACAGGTATGTAAACAAATATGTCAGCACCGCTGAAATGTTTGATGCATAACGTGTGAAACGCACGGGGATTCTTAGTAAGTAACTGAGTTGTTAATATGTTACGCGAAATCAAGCCTCAATTAAGCAACGACGGAAGACAGGTCTACTCATTTACATTAAACTTAAGCGAATATCTTATACGTAAAATTTAATCTACTTTTACTGCGCCTGTTGACTGTTTTGTGTTGTATGTGAAAAATTCTAGTTCTGGCTTACACCTGTTTCTCGATCATTGGTCGGATGATCGAATCAATTTAATAACAAAGTTTAGAGTTTTGTCCTACTGATCTAATTATTTAATTTCTACTGAAGGACCATAAATCGCAAATCTTATATCTCCATAATAGCATTTCCATACACAGGATGCGCATTTATCGATGCACATTCACGTAAAAAATATAGTATGAAAATGTTATCTAGAAAATACAAACGAAATAAAACCCCAAATTTGCGTCTTATACATCATTTAATTAATCAGATATATATTTTCAATCTCCAGTTATATGATACGCAAACAAATCGATTCTTACTTCCTAATTTAGGTCATGGTTTATGTTCAATAACCAATCACACTATACAAATGACTGAATATACAGCAGAACCTACAATCCTTTATCGATATGCAGTAAAAACAGTTAATCGATTATGTCCTGAACCAAAAGATTTACGGGGAGTGAGTTTCCTATATATTTTAAGTATACTGAAGTTATTAAAACATATTATCTAGCTTCCTAGGAAACCTTTATTTTTGGATGGATATACAACAGAATTAAATTTAATAAAATATTTTCTGCACTATGAATGTATATAATTGAAAGTAAAATTTGCAAAACTTACCTTTACCATTGTGTTTGTCTAAATTGCGAAGTTTACCTCATAACACATTATTATCCCAAGCCAAAACAGATTTCACAATCCATGCAATTTTGATACTAACAAAGCAGACCAGAAAAAAGTCGACCATTACAGCATGAAGGAGAAACTTTACCTTAAATTGTTTTCGGAGATTAATTTCAAGACAATCGGTTACCTAACGAAAAAGTCTAAGTATTTACCAACCAACTCGCTGAATGTTCTTACTTGGATTACAGGACCATCAAAGCGAATGTAAACTATACAAGCACTTTGATTTGCAGCACGCAAATTAATGACTACCCTTAGATTTAAGTAACATTCATGAATATAGTGCCAACGTTTTAGATTGCTTCAGTTGTTATGAGACGTTTCTTATCCATAACGCGATTACAACATGAGCGTATCTTTTATCCTAATGTTTACTGAGTGAAAGGAAATCACTCCGATTCGTGTAATGACGCCTGTCTGTTTAGTAACTAAACAATTTATTAAATATTGTAAACTACTTATTTTAAACTCCGAGGAAAGCAATCGTCCACATTTAATTTCACCATTTGGAGATCAGGACTTTTAACATAAGCAAGTTGACTTGATAAGCGTATGCTACGAACAAAACGTTACGTGTTGGTTTATTCTCGTAACTTGATTTAAATTTTAGGACGTAAAAATCCTGAATTACTTGATAACGAATCAAAAAGAAATACAATTCTTCGAATCTTCCCAGGAAAAACAATTTTAAAAAGGACTTGCTATTTAAGAACACTAGGCAATTCTCCATAAAACTTTTATAAGGACAAATTATGAATATAGACTGCAATTTCAATGTAATACTCCCGTCAATGAAAAGGGGGAAGTTTCAGATTTAAATCAGCGAAGAAATGAAACAATAACCATTCGAAAGACACATGTAAAGAATCGACAGTTCGAAAAATAATGTTGAGTACATAATTTTGTTCGCTGCATTTTTCGGAACCGATCAAAATTTTACTTCTAGGAGTTAAACGTTAACCAATAGAAAGTAGGATGAGAATTTTATTGAATTCCTACTAAAGCTCCAAGAACTTTCAAATTAGTTCTACTAGTTATCTATTTGTACATAAAGAATTATTATAATTTTAGAAATATGGAGATTGCGACTGGTGTTTAACTTAACATAGTAACTTTATTTTAGCCTCCTAATTCGATCAACATTTTGTGTAGGACAAGATATTAGGGATTATTAATCAGTATACAAAGCAATAGCAAGTGGTATTTACTCACCAAGATTTTGGGGACGGATCTGCAGATATCCATCTTCACGATTTATGAACAGGACAAGCAGTCCGAATAAAAGATGGGAATGAGTTCCCCAAATTGATGATTCCCTCAGTGAAAACAGACTGAAAAATATCTCAAATTTTAGAATCGAATTCACAAAAGTACAAGATAATAAATAAAATAGGTTTTGCTCTTTACTCAACTTGTTACTGTAGCTCGTGTTGTCATGAATCAAGATGTCGACATTTCATGGATCACCACTCAACGCTCAGCATACATAGAGTTGACAGGATATATACAAACACAATGGTGGAGAGTAAGAAACATTTTTCTATTGCATAACCAGCACAAGCCGAAATAAAATCACCATATCCTTAACAAAGTAGTAGGAAGTATGCTACATCTAATACTTAAATTACGCTTGAAACTATATCAACGCTAAATTTACTTAAAGGATTGTCTGTGACAAAACAAAAAAGGCCAAGTCGTTCCCTAACCGAAGAGTAAAAATAAAGCGGAATACTTCAAAGGGATCTGTACTGACAATCTTGTCGTTTACGTATATTTGTAATTGAGTCCTCATATAAGCGTACTATGAGGTCACAGTTTTAAATCCAATAACATGGAAAAAAATTTATTGACCGAAATCGGTAAAAGCCAAAAATACGTAACCAGATGTCACCCTAATAAAGTTGTAAGTTACTTTAGGAATTTTTTGAATCACAAATAGCTTTGTTACAAATTTTTGTCATAAAAAAGATTTCATGAAATGTAGTTTTGAATATTTCCATTCCCATCACACTTGACTACCATGTCCTATCAGGACACATAAGTTATCACTAGATGTTTGTAGTTTATAAAAATCCACTTACATTTACCATGCATGTCAATTATTAGGTAGACTTTGCATACACAGTAAACAATGTGTCAATTTATTCTCAATGTTTTGATATATATGTTTCCTGTACAGATAGGATTGCAAGTTCATCAGCTACAGTACGGAGGCTCAAGGGTTAATTGTATGAAGATTATGAATCCATGTGGCAACGATCAAACCGTTAAGGAAAACGACCAGTCACTTTGTTTGCCAAAAACAAATAACTTGGTGAACTCCCAATGTCAGCAAATTAGGTTGGTATTATTGTTTCACAACCTACTGTTATTACCAGTTACATAGAAATGAGTCATCCTACATTTACCAGCAAAGTTAATTATATTTGTTACATTCGATTTAATCTATACACGTGGAAACTAAATTCAGAGATTAAGTAGTATACTTGGATGACAAATCTGTTTGTTATGATCGCAGATACAACTAAATGCAAATTATTTGGTTGTGAACCAAATTACCTTATACTAAAGGTAATAACTTCGATTAGGACGCTTTTTGCCAGTACCGTCTCTGAAAATCGTAACGGTGTAGAAAAATCCGAAAGAAGTTAAGTGACGGCCGAAAGTTTAATTAAACTACTGACCAACGTGCACTACGTCATACAGCCCTACGACCCCTTTAACTTATTCACATTTACAATTTGCGTTGAGTACCTTGAATATATGTAAAGATTTAGCTTCAATGTTTTAAGACTTAGCCATTAACTAATGAAATGATTATCATTCAGTTTGCGCATCTAAGTAGTATCATTGGCATTATACAAAACGTGGCTTAAAGTCCAGCACTATGTTGTATCTCCTTTTTCTAAAATTAAAACATTAGCTTTATTCATGTCAGTTTTAATGGTCAGTTTACAATTGCAGTATTTACATAGACTGCTGACATAAGTTGTAAAGTGAGGTCAAGCAAACATTCATCGTGTCGAAGATACCACGTATTAGTAGTCGTGGTAGTACACGGGATTGTACTAAGAGGAAGTTACCGTTACCAAAATAGCTGGACGTGATTATCAGTATATCTATAGATTGGTATTAAACGTACATATTTTCCTTTTACTAGTTATTTTTACCGGACCAGTACAGATACAGTTGAAAGGAAGCTCATAGTCACTGACCTTGATCTACACTAACAGGTCACATGCTTCTCTTTAAGAGCCTTGTTGACGTATAACTTGCATGTTATTTTTGTTTATCTACAACTTTTAGTGTGACCGACAATGAAGACCAACGTCGTCAAGAATTAAACATCACGGATGTTGAGAAAGATATTCCAAACGATTGTAAACGATTGGGACATTTAGCGGACAGACATAATACCAACGGAGTACTCGAAATACAGAAAACTGTGACAGTAAGTACCAAAAAATAAAATTGCTTGGCAATTGACAGGATAAACGTTTATCCATTAAAAGCATCACTTTATTTAACATTGAGGTGCCATAGGTTAACTGTGACAATCAACCAGATAAAACACTTGTACGGTATATGTGCCCAATAAGAAAAAAGATCTAGAAACTATAGTGGATTGATTATTAACTACATTTAATGCGTCGCCATTTTTACCACTGATATCAACTTTTAATTTCTTTAAAGCCATTTCTAAGAGTTATGATCTAACAGCGTATAATGATTTTAATCTTTTCTAGTCATGTAGTTCAAACTATATGCCCATCGCAACTCCAGTAAAACAAAGAAACATATCAGTGAATGGCAGAAAGTTGCAGAAAAAGCGCGTATGTAAGGGAGGAAAATTATCAGTAGTCAAGAGTGCACGACTTCAAAAGACGAATTGTAAATCCATTTCAAAACACATAGGTATACCTACTCCCATGAACTCCATAAAACCTGAGATACCACAACTCGGTTGCTTAACACAGGCAATGGAAGACCCGAGTGGTTTGTTCACCAATAAAACATTGACAGAACTTCAACAAATTTTTGGTGATTGGATAACTAGTGAAGCAGGTAGGTACAAATTAGTGTTTGATAAAAAAGTTTAGAGACAGTTACTTTTGATCGATACCCAGTTCAGTAATAAATTACTCAAGTAGCAACACATCGTTGGTAATTATCTTTACACAAGTTACACTGGGCGCAATCATTAACTCAGCACAAGTAATACCGCTACACCGACCGTGAAACGACGAATTTCTATACTTACGGTCAACTTCTTTACTCTCTAAATACAGAAAAAGTACACTGAAAGTCGAAACAATAAAAGACGTGTAGGGATATATATATTAGTAATAGCATTTATTACATCACTGATCAATAAGAAACGTTGTTTTTAATTTTCAGTGCCCCAAAACGAAGATATACAAATTTTGACCAATTACCTTTCATCTCTGGTGAATACAAATTTGGAGCGAATTCGCTCAGTACTTATACTCCTTGATAGACTTATAACAAGACTTGCGCATCCATCCGATGGTAGTTGGAGAAAAGCATATCAATCAATACTTGATACATTATCGGAATCAATTAAAGAAAAGTACAGTGGATTCAATTTGAAACTTCGACTAGCAGAGTAAGAAAAATAAGTTTCCAATGTTAAAACATTTTATAAAATTTTCTTGCCAAAAGTAATAAAGTTTCTCAAGAATCCGCTTTTGAATGGTATTTTTTAAACAAGAACTGTAAATACGTAAAACACCACAAAACGATAGGATAGTGCAAATAATTTATTGCAATCTGGTAAATAATCTATCAATCATACCGTACAGGCAACCAGTGAAAAAAGTTAATACTCATAAAATTTTTGTACAGAGTAAAATTAAACGATTCATATGTACAATTTACCTTCGGTGATGATCATGATGTCGACTCGAAACTAGACGATGGTTAGAGTGCTCACGCAATATACGACCACTTTCACCGTTTGGTGCAGATCGCAACGATGAATGATGTTTGCTTTTATGTGACTTATCATAATCGATTCGGTAGGCATAGGGCGGTGATAAATGACGGCGACCGCTTTTAGATTTTACCGGATTATGATGAGTCGGAGAAAAACGCGGTTCATCACTGAAAGATGTTTGGGAATCCTCTGATGAAGAGCGTGGAATATGTTTACGTTTATTATTGTAGATTTTTCTGCGATCATGCACATTAACTATGTGTTTGTTAGGACTTGATGAACTATCACCTGTTTCAGAGCCAGAGGATGATATATCATTTAATTTTTGTCGATAATTACGAGATTTGGAGTTATTTGTCAGTAAGTTTATTGAATTATAACGGTTTTGATCGGTCTCTCGGTCAGATGACGAAGATGATGAGGAGATCGAATTGTAATGATGCTTTTTAGATGAATATTTGTGTCGATGATGTCGACGTCTTTTGTCGGATTCTGTGTTAGTAGACGGGATATTTGAGTAGGCAGCTGGTCGAATAATTGGTCGTCGTTTGTTCTCAGAGTTTTCTTGTACAGTTCTAAAATAATTTAATAAGTAATTCAAGATTACTTAACAATGAGGCAGTACAAAAATGAATTCCATCTAAAAACCAGAAAACCTCATTTCTCATTTCTTACTTATGGCAAAAACGTTCCAGTATAATCCAAACAAAGAACATAGGGCAATGACTCAAACCAGCACAACCTTTCACATTTATAAGCTTGCAAAATAACTTGCAGTTTTGATACATACAGCATGCAGATACATAAGTTCAGCTTCTTCAGTTATTATTTAAACACATAAACATTGGTACGAGGCACCAAATATATATGTGTCACACAAATCATTCAATTTGTGTATGGGCTGGAATACTGCCTGGGCGCCCAAACCGAAACAGGTAGTTTACTTAAGGGGTCACACCCCGAGCCTTCGAGATAAGGGTCTGATCCACAAGGCAGTGGAGCATCGTGAGGAGATGCAGTCCCATGGAAGCCGGTGACCAACGATTGGTTCATACGCCATTTGTTCCCGCAGGATACTGGAGCCCATGTGCACCATTGGTTTGAGATCCGTTTAAAGCACCGGATATTCGCTTTTCGTCCTTTCATTTTCGTAAACAACAGTAATGCCGCGAGAAGGCAGTGAGTAGGACTTCCCTGGCAGAGGCTGTATACGCGTGGCCGTGTGAGACCATTTCGAGAGGGAGAGCGGACTCTCCCCATTCTCGGCCGTACCAGGGCATTTAGGGGCCTACCAAAAAATTCTTGACGACCAATATCCGAATACTATAAAAGATGTGTAGTTAACCAACGCGCGTAATTATGTGATCAAATGTGCAGCAACGTCAGAAAGCATAAAGATTCATGTATGAAGCTGAGTCATAAAATGTAAAACGATTATTCAACCCCAACGACTGAGTTGAGTAACCAAAAAAGTACATTATAATCCTACATGTACTCATGAAATGACAGACGTATCAGACTGACATCATTAGGTGGCGTAGGCTGGGAATATTTGTTGAGCAACAACTTACAAACATTTAACAAATATTTATTGAAAAGAAGCTTACCTATCAGGCTTCTTATTCGAAGCATCGGATATATTATCTATCTGATTAGGTTCAACCAATGTTTTTGGAGATCTTGGTGAAGCATCTTCACTTGTTTCGCGTTTATGTGGAACAATTGACGGGTCAGTACCCACTTTGGACAACTCGTCTGTGATCATACCAGATTTTGATGCTGTAATCGTTGCTGCGACCGCTTTGGCATTAGCTAAGGCGCTTGCTAAAAGCGAGTTTGGAGCGAAAACGGTAGAAGTATCTTCAGGCTCAGCTTTACTATCTACTGACTTTTTATTCCCATTAGGCTTGTTTTGATTCTTAGATTTGGATAAATGATTTGGGGGTGAGATATAACCGAAACTGTGGTCGGACCGGGTACTTGGGGGTGTTGTGACGGTTTGTTGTTTCCTGAGCTCGTTTTCTCGTTCCTTTGCTTCTGCCTGAGATTTCCTGAGTTGAGCTAGAACTGATTCGAGTTTCCCAACATCTACCTTTGGACGAGCATATAAACGTAACAAACATAAAGCGATTTCGTGCACAGATTCTTCGCTCACACTAAACATTTCCCACCAAGCTGGGTGGCGTGGCAGAGGAATATTGAGCTTACATGATGCTAGATAAATGCAACCACATGCAATTGCTTCCGGAAGATAACGTACAAATATATCAGTTCGAAGACTGTCGTTCATGTAATTCCTAAAATGCACCAAGTTTTAGGTGGAGATTGAGAATACTAAGTTTTAGATCATTTAAAATGATTCACAATAAAGAGATACAACAACAATTAGAAACCTTATTTCAGCCTTTCGGATTTGCATACAGACACACAAAATGTATAATTTATAACTTAGAGAGGTACAGCTATCTGAAGTTAGGAAAATAAAACACCATCGGCTTTAATTTTTGAGCACTATTTTAATTTTATGGGTATTTTTCAAAGGGTTGCCAAGAGTTGGGCAGGTCAATATTTAATTAGCAGGGTACGCATCACAATCACAAAGTAGTAAGATTTCAGTAATGCAATGTAATTGTCGTCTGAAAGTAGTTTAGTAAAAGGTTATATTATCACACTTAATTAGTAATTACACGTACCAGATTCATTGTCTTGTATCTAAAAAAAGAAGTGAACTTGCAGTCGCCTATTTGATACACTCGATCCTACTGACTAGTGAAACAATTATAGCCTCATAATTATCAGACAAAGCGAGCCCAGGAATGTTAAAAGATACTTTGAATTCAGTTTTGTAAATCACGCCTATCTTAAATATCGACAAAAAATCAGTTTTGAACACAACCAATCCCTATTCTTATCGTGTTTCGGTCCGCAAGTGTATGGCGCAGCACAAAAATATATAACGTATTCTATTCCTCTCCGATTGGATTTTGTGACACACAGACAAACACGGACGGCAATTACAATACGATCGATCAACAGGAAATTAACAAACAAGCAAAAACTAATATATTTCGTACTTAAAAATTAATTTTAACGTGCTTATTTGTTACATAGACTTAAAGAAACAGTATAAGGAATCTACAGACAAACTGTTTATAATCACTTTCGAGTTAGAACCCTCAATTACCTTCTAAATCTCTGTGGCTCACGATAAAAATACCAAACTACAATTGATATTATAGAGTCAGTCAGTCAGCTACAAAGTAGGACCAGGCACATATATGCATCGGTCCAAGTTGCCATACCTCATTAACACAACAAGGTGAACACCGGATTCATAAAAATAGTTAATTCAGTTGTGGCAATATATAAAAGAAAGATTGCAATAAGGATATAGTACAGGAAGAAAGAATTAGTTCGTAGAAAGAAAGATATGGAGCGATTTTAATCTCTTAGTTTAAGGGAAGACAGAGAGTGTATACACCGACGCCATTGTGATCGATTCTGAGCCTCTAACCATTGGTTACGATAGTCACGCGGACCCCAACCAAGTAGTCTGCATCTACCAACATGACTCAGACTAGAAGTTAATGACCTCAGGCACTGATGCCACGTTTTGGTTCGGCCGCCCCTAACATCCTTCCAACCATCTCCAATACCGGTTAGCATTGCGTGTCGTGGTAATCGGTGTTCGAGCATACGTAACACGTGGCCCAACCATCTCAGTCGATGAAGATTTACAACCTCACTAACAGATTTACTATCATTCCCTAATACCCTGTGTCTAACCTCCCTATTACTTACCCGGTGATCCCAGCAGACGCCAGCAATATTTCTGAGGCATCTGTGGTCAAATACTAGTAGCTTACGAGTGTCTTCTACTCTTAATGGCCATGTTTCGCTGCCGTAAATTAAAACAGAACGGACTGCCGCGCAGTATACTCGTCCTTTTATTGATAGACGGATATCTCGCCTTCGCCATAAGTGACGTAAGTTGGCAAAAACCAAACGAGCTTTTCGAATCCGTGCTGAGATTTCGTCAGACACCAACCCATTAGGGCTGATCAGACTTTCAAGATAGGTAAAGTTGTCAACGCGTTCGACTACTTCACTCCCTATCCTTAGTTCAGGTGTTGACCCAGACCAGTCCTGAAGCAACAACTTGCATTTAGAGGGAAAGAAGCGCATTCCAAACATTCTGGCATTGTTGCTTGGTGCTACCAAAAAACTGCATTTTATCAGCGTCCTCACCAAACAGGACGATGTCATCTGCGTATTCTAAGTCGGTAAGTGGACCTCCTGGAAGGAGATCAATACCCGAGAATTCAGTAGACAATAATGTTATTTCCATCAATAGGTCTATAATGAAGTTAAACAAAATGGAGAAAGTGGACAGCCTTGACGGACACCACTTGAGGTTGCAAAAGCAGATGACAGTTCGCCATAAGCTCTCACGTGACTAGTAGTGTTCGAGTAAAGAGCCTTCACAAGGTTTATGTACTTCTGAGGTACGCCTTTCAATGACAGACACTGCCACAGAATCTCGCGGTCTACCGAGTCAAATGCTGCTTTTAAGTAAAAAAAAGACCACCAATGTCGGACGCCAATAAGTATGCCTATGTTCTAGAACCTGACGAATGGTGAATATGTGGTCGATGCAGCCACAACCAGGTCTGAAGCCAGCTTGATTCTCTCGTGTTTGCAGTTCACGAGTCTTAGTTAGGCGTCTGATAATTATCGAGACTAGTATTTTAGATACAATATTAGTTGAAATAATTCCTCTATGGTTGTCACAGGATGATTTAAACCCTCTATTATATATTGGGACGATAAGTGATTGTGACCAGTCAGATGGAATAACGTCTAACTCCCAGATTTTAGCTAAAATATTAGTCAACCTAATTGCTAAAATTGGACCACCATCCTTAAAGACCTCTGGAGCCAATCCATCTGAACCAGCTGCCCTTCATCGTTTCAGATTAGCTATAGCCTTTTGAACTTCTGCTAGAGTTGGGGGACCCACTTCAATGTTCCATTCACACTGTCTGGGAATGGAGGGTAGTTGTAAAGTAGCTGAAGGCCAGCTGAATTGTTCTCTGAAATGTTTCCGCCATCGTTCTAAACGTCTGGACTAAGAGCAGATGAGGGTGTCGTCTTTTTCTGAAATAGTCTGACTTACACTTGACTTATTAATTCCAGTTTTTATTTTATTAGTCTGTAGAGCCATCTTGTGTTCCCTATAGCCGCCGCCTTTTCCATCTCTTTTGCTTTCGTTGCCCACCACTGCTCACGGTCGTTCCTCCGACTTTTGCTTAACTTCGATCTGATTTGTTGTCGCTCTTCATCGTGTTCAGAGCCTGATGGGATGAGTTTACGAGAATCCATCAGTGCGATAGACCTTGAGGAAACCCATTGGTTCTTTGTAACACTGTAGTTTAAATCACTGATAGTTGTCACTGCTGTTTCCACATCTGTTTGTATAGCTTGCCAAGCAACATCTGCGTCAACCTCGTTTTCAGAACTACCTAATTGTAACCACAGTTGTTCCTGGAACCTACTTTTGGTTTTCTCGCTACTAAATTCAGTTCTAATGGGTCTTTTTACTGTGGCTTTTTTGCATCCAGTGAGGCGCAAGCAGATGCGTGCCCGTATTAGGGCGTGGTCGGAGTCCAAGCATGTACCTTAGAATGAGCGACAATCTTCTACCGACCCTCTCCAACGATGACTGATGGCAATATGGTCTATTTGAGTTCATCGTTGGTTTGGTGTAGGGGGTCGCCATGTTAGACGATGTCTCTCCTTATGCTTAAAATTTGTGTTTGCTACCTCCAGAACAACCCTTCCACGGTGTGGGCAACCGGGAAGTGATAACCGCCCTCATACCTCTAACAGCACTCAAGACCACTGACTGGCTGCACCCTTCCTTGTGGGAAGGCAGCATCGCTGGTTGTCTGAAGGAAACACCTTACTGCTGTCACACCTCTGCACAGTCAGCAATACGACGAATAATACAAATAAATAACGACTGTAACTTAACAGAAACATTTTTGTACCACCATGTGGATATGTGTGCAGAAAAGTCCTTTTTGGAGAACCTGTCTGAATTTAGACTGTTATACTTCAAACGATTTTTACGCTTCAACACATGGTAACCAGATTACCTGCACATAACAATGTAATCTGGAATTAAATTAAGCTGGACTGGGAAGCGTAGATCAGCACTTGTAGTATTAATAAGACGTGAGGATGGTAGGAAATCTTTCTTAACTTAGCAGGACAACTATTCTATAGGCTATTCTTGATGTTTGACCGGTCACAAGCGTAACACTACGAAGATTTTGCGAAACCTATATAAAGTTAGTGGTTGGAGGTTCTACCGAAATGGAAACAACTGCCAACTGTTTAGTGATGGTTAACCCTAGAACAACAAAGCCTAACACTACCAAAGCAATCCAAAGGCTTGGTTACACATTGTATTTCAAGGTGCTTACAACACCTGGAGCACTTCGAAAGGTAACTTGGACCAACCTTCCAACTTCCATCAGGCTGTCTTGCGTATCTTGACAATCGGATGATAATCTATTAAATGAAGTAGAGGTAGGGAAGAAACTTAGTACCACAAAATGTCTTTAGTAATGAGGGAAATATTTTAGATTAAGATTTAAAGGACGATCAAGCGAAGATACATGGGCTATTGTGGTTCATTCTCGGCCATGTCGTTGACTTAATCTAATACTTCTGGCAACCACGTAAACCCTAACCAAATATTTTGGATCTACCGACATAACCCAATCTGCCACTGGCTGCGTACACTGATGCTACGCTTTGATTTAGTCACTCCTAGTCTCTTACCAGATTACCCTTAAAACAACAAACACCGTCGTTGCAGGCCTGTCGCGCATATGTAGTACAAATATAAAACATTATTATGATTGGGAACCTATCGTTTCTCTGTTCCTCACATTGTAAAGGGATGCTTTTTTCCTAAGGAATTAGTCGTCAGTTGTCTTGAACATTCGGAAGCATACCTGAAGAACCTAACGGATAGCATCCCGAGGTAAATTACACAGATTTTGAGAACACTTTCTGGGGTCTATTCTATGATACTAAGGCCTTACCTTCATCGAAATACGCGAGGCAAAATTAGGTATGGGGTTTTCGGGGCCGACCCCGATCGAAGCTGCTACCTTGACGCGGTGGTCGGGCTTGCCTATCGTGATGACCCAACCGAGCTATATTGGCTGGAACATATGTTCCTGCAGGTTCTACCATGCCAGGCAGGTCGATTGGCGAACGGTAA